ATCGGATTTTGTTAACTATCCCAGTTACGATTGCCTCGGTGGAGAGAAGTTTTTCCAAGTTGAAATTGATAAAAAGTTATCTTCGCACTACCATGTCACAGGAACGATTGAATGGATTGACAATGATATCAATTGAAAATGAATACTTGGAGAAACTTGAGTATGATGACTTAATTGAAGAATCCGCTTCAAACAATTCAAGGAGAAGTATTTTTCTTTGAATCAAATTGTAGCACAAATGTAATCTCTTCTTATATGAATATTGATTTTGCATGAGAATATTATCAGTTTGAGCCCAATATAGAACGCTAAATTGTATTATATGTATTCATTTTTATCGTTATTGATCGTACCAAATTTTTAATATAAGGAAAAACCAAAATTGGATTGGGTTAGGGCAACCCAAAGCTCAGGGTCGGCCCTGTATAGGACCCCACTAATGAAGATAAATTTATAAAATTATTAATATAGATCCAAATACAACCATGATAAGTTACATGAGGACACCACTGAGATAAAATTATGGCTTCGCCACTAGTAATAACATATGTGAATATATGATTGTTGGTTGGCCAAAATCACATGAGAACCAAAATATGGGAAATGATCATAACACCTTAAGTAGCAAATGTAAGAAGTAATAAAACAAATTCTAAGTGCTTAAATCAGCTATGATTGATGTCCGTGTCTTAAGCATGAAATAATGCAACTCAAGAGACTATGAGAATAGTATAACAGCCAAGACAATACCATAAGTCAACCAAAAAAAATCAAACAGATCATTCTTCATCTAGATGAGAGATGATGTTATGCAAACAAAATTTTAGACTACACCACAGTCTGTGTCATAGTCTAAAAGAAGAAATAACTGATATCCCGCAGCGCATAAGTCCTTTTTTCCCCCTCCAACAGAATTGGCACATATGGGTTCTAACAACTTTACCTTTTAACTTAAAAAAGTCTCCCTTTGATGGGAGATGGTAAGAGTTTACCTTTTACCAATTCTAAACATCATTTCATGCTTGGTCCACACAAAGGATATTGTTAGACTTTGATTAAGCTATCCTGCTATCGTGGGATACAAGTAAGCTTTGCTAACTGTTTTTCCCTTTTTATTATACAGTTTTCATGTATAACTTTCTTAGACTTTGATCAATAGTGCAGTATCTACTAATTAGTCAAGTTTTCTCTTAAAAAAGTTCTTAGATTGTTGATACGAGGATAAATAGATGTTAGTATAGATGCAATTTGTCACAATTTGCCAATAAATATTTATCACAGAAGAAAAGTTCCTTTCAAAAATTTTGGCATAAATTTTAACTGCAAGAAGTATATTTTAATTAGTCAAATTTCCTGTTCAATATTCTTAGTGATCCACTTCTTTCACTTCCTGCTATTGATAAACACTGTGCTTAAGCTATATTAGACATTGTTAAAGTCCCTACCTATTACACCAACATTCTGATGAAGTTATGGTAAGGATTGAGGGTTATAATTTTATATTCTAACAGAATGCCCCCGCGGGTTGAGCGTCCTTGTTATGAGCCAAAACCTGGACCCACATAGCAGTATCAAATTTTTTTCAAATGTATGGGCAAGTACCAAACTTTAGTTACTTTGTTATATTTTTGGTGGGTGTTTAGGTGGGAGAAATCAATTGTGGGTTCATAGTAAAATATTTATTATATTTTTGGTGGGTGTGTAGGTAGGAGAAATCAATTGTGGGTTCATAGTAAAATATGAATATATATCAAATCAACTCTTCTTTTGCCTTTTTTTTAATCAATCCCTAAACACCCCCCCCCCCCCCCTCCTCGCTCGCACAATTTAACTAGGAATACATTGGCAAAGAATATTTTCCATGAATGATCCAACCTAATTTTGGGGAAACTATAGATAGTTTTAACACAAAGTCATGCATATTGCAAGGATGCATTTAGGGATAAAAGAGCATTTACCTTTTTCTTCGTTGCAGAACAAAGGAAAGAGCTCTCACCGCACAGAAGAAAATGTAATGCCCTATAGCCTCCACTTCACTTTTCTGTCGTCTTTCTCTCTGCAGAAGAGAATGTACTGTCCTATAGCCTCTACTTCACTTCCCCGCTGCCCAGAAACTAGGCACCCTACCTTCTAACTAGCTAGAAAATAAATGCATATACTTATTTTAATATTAATCTCCCTCCCTCCATCCATCCAGAAGAGAATTTACTCCTCTATAGCCTCTGCTTCACTTTCCCGCTCCCCAAAAACAAGACAATCCACTTTTTAACTGGCTAGAAATAAAATATATATACTTATTTTAATACTGAATTTAATTTTTTTTTTAAATACGATATATATTCATATCTTCTCTTGAAAATTAGAAAACCCAATTGTATTCAAGTTAACAGAAAATGCAATAGAATAAATTTGCATTTCCACTTTTGGCTAATACTAACAACATTCTTAGTTTCTACTTTTGTACTTCGCAATAATAACTTAAACTATTTGGATCCTTAAAGTCAAAACTACTATTAGCTTATGTGTTTGAAAATTGATGCCATTCAAGAATCCAATTGGTATTTTATGAAAAGAGAATCAATAGTTATGTTCATTGAATGATTTCAAAGGAGTTAAGGGGTTGTTTGGTTATTTCCTAAAAAACCAAAAAATAGAAATGCAAACCAAGAAAACTCAAAAAGTACAATTTCACACATTTCCATCCCTAAAACTCACCCACAACATCTAATAAAATATTATTTTTATCCAACAACTCATCCATCATATCTAATAAAATATTATTTTCATCCAACAACTCATCCATCACATCCACCACATCTAATAAAATATTATTTTCATCCACAATATCACTCAACTCATCTCATCTCATATTTAAAAATTGTGACAACTCACATCATCCAATAAGATTGTGACAACTCATCTCATTAACATTTTATTTCTTTGTTTTCCTCCCAAAAAGCTAGGAAAATAATTTCCTTAAGTGTGGGTCACATCATCCAATAATATAATGATAACTCATCTCATCTCATATATTTTCTTATTTTTAAGAAATAACCAAGCAAAAGAAAACAACCTATTACAAGAAATAGGTTTCTTATAATTTATTTCATTATTTTTTTCGCCAACCAAACAACATCAAAACAAGTTTTCTTAAAAAATCACTCACATCATCCTATAATAAGGTGACAACTCATCTTTATTTCTTTGATTTCCTTCTTTTTTTAGCAAACCAAACACTCCCAAAACAATTCATTGATTTAATAGTTTTCCATTTCTTTGATTTTCAATTTTTTTTAGGCAAACAAACAGGCCCTAAAGTGATATGTACATTTTCAATCTATTGGATAACCTATCTATAAATTTGATTTGAACTCATAAATACAATTTTGTTATTGGCCTATTCAAGTATTTTACCAAAAATGTCAAGTCACAGCGCAACGAGGTCACTATCAGCAGCGAAAAGTCTTTTGGCGGCAACAGTATATGCTATCTCAAACAGTTGCTTACCTTTGCCTTCAAACTTGAAGAATTATCCCATTATGGACACATACTAAGGTTTTAACCTCTTATCGATTCTAAATAAACCATCTTTTTGTTGTTCAACACATGTAGATTACATTGTTTACGTTATCCAAATAAAAAAAATTTGATGAGCATATGAAACTACTTGAAAACTATTATGTACTAAGACAGTTAGCTAATATTATAAATTTAAATATGAAATGTTCCGAAGGAGATTTCACCAACTGTCCGGTTTTTCCTAGCTCCCAACCTAATTTATGTTAAGAAACAATTCACCTCAGCTCCCTCAAATCTTCTACCAACTCACAACTCATCCCATCAAGGGCATAAAATGCAAGGATTGGTTGCCCCTCCAACCTTCACAATAGAGAAGGTGTTTCATTGCCTCAGGGGAAAAAACTGGGTGCAACTTTTTCATTGAAAACAGTCACACACAACTTCTGTATCAATCATTCCACTGGACATCGTTCAGCTCAAACAAACAATCTCTAGGTTCCTGATTATAGGGAAGACAGGACCATTATCACATAATCCTCTTTACAACCCCTTGGAAATTTGGAATGCACACTATAAAAGCAATCCATTTATCTCCAAACTTGACATGACAGTTTTTGGCTCCTACAAGTCATCCCTCAAACTGCAGGTTCTTCATGTAAACAAATGCAAAGACGTGATGACAGAACACTGTAAGAGCTACCCTTGGTTAACAATTCTACACAACCAGAAAATTGAACCTAAATCAACCCATATGAAGGTGTTAATAGTATTTTCCTGTTGGAAGCTAGGAATGTTTTAAATAGAAGTAGCCAGAACATTTCAGTCTGCAAATATTGTTTGGTAAAACCTTCATGACCTACCACATCTACCATGTTGGATGTCATGAAACGTTAGTAACAATAGTTGAAATAACTCAGTCACTTGCTTAATAACTTCAACTACACATTCTTCCAAAGAGGTCAGAAATGCTCGAGAAGCAATGACGAAATTGAGTGGATGGAGATGATATCAATATAGGTCTAGCCTGCTTGTATAGATGGGTAAGCAAATCCTGAGTTACAAGCTAATTGACAGAGTATTCATACGATCAGATGTGATCTTATTGTTGTCTATATTGCTCAATGACTAGTCTGAATAAAGCATTCTGATCAGCACCATGTTAAATGATGAATTCATCATGTGAAAATTTTCCATTCAAGAATTATGAATTGCATTATTATAAATACCTCATTGAGAAGCAAGCCAGAGAGATGTGGATAGTAATTACTGATAAACTGGTTTTGAAGTGTGAGTGAAATCAAATACAATGTATTATGATTACCATGTAAGCATGTAATGCAATTCAAACCCAGATGTGTCCAAAGTGCATCCAATCCCTTGAATACTAACAGCAAACAGAAAATCTAAACAGAGACTTCCAAAGGGGAAAAAAATTTGATGACCAATTGAATAAATGAAACCCCATATTGTGCTCCTAAAGCGAGTGAAAGGAATTATCAATAAAAGATTAGACTACTTACTGAATCCAAATGCTTCTTTCGGTGTTTATGCTTCCCCTTCAGCTTCTTCTCTGGTCAAAGGAGTTAAATGAAAGAAAAAATAGTAAGGATCCCTTAATTTTTTTTGAAACCATTTGAAATTTTGCAACATGGAACAAAGGATTCAGCAATTCCTCAATTAAATAAACACATTCAATCAAAGTAAAGTCTTAAACTGTCTTATAGATAACCATAATTTATTATTACACACCAGTTAAATTCAAATGTTAATGAACTGGACAATTATGAATCACCATACTACTTAAAATGATACAAGTAAATGGACCATTCGTTTTCTTGAAGAATACTAAACTAAACAAAGACATATCTTCTGACAACAATTAAAAAAACATCTAAAATTTTATTCCATAACCTGGACCTCGACTCTTGTATCAAATTTAATCAAATTACAAGGAAAAATCCTTACCTTTTTCATCTCCGCTCTTTGAATGCTTATGAGACTTCTCACTCTTTTTCTTCCGTTCCTTCTTCTCATCATCTCTTCGACTCTTTCTATCTTCTCTCTTTCTGTGCTTCTTGCTTCTTTCATCCTCATCATCTGACGACAAATTATCAAAAATTAGCACGAATGAATAAAAGGGTTTGGATATTAGAATAAGATACGAGGAGGGCTTGGATCAAAGTTTCACCTTGAGATGAAACAGGAGAGGATCGCCGCTTCCTCGACTTCCCTTCGCTTCCCATCGTTTTTTCCCCTTCCCCCTTGTAATTTGGAGAAATTTATTTTCAAGTACAGAGGACATTGAGCTCAGATTTATAGGGATTTACACGTGCCACCTGTGATTCAACTGAATCGAGCGGTTCGGAGTCTTCGGACCGATTTGAGATGTTCGGTTTTATTTTATTTTATTTTTCCTTTTACCTAGCGTTGATTGTATTTTGATCATAAATCAATCTTTTACTTTTTCAGTAAACTGGCCTACTCTCTAGCCTGATAATACTCCTCTAGGAAACTATGCTGAATTTCTATTTATTAGCTATAACTAACAAGAACAATTAACGACAAATGTCTATAAAATTTTCTTTGAGTAAAATATATTTTATTAATAAAATTAATCTAATTCTGATTTAATCAGATCCAATTTACGCTTAAAGATTTAAAAAATCATAGAGAAATATGTTATTTGAAGCAACTCTATAGCAAACAGTTTAGGTGCTAGTAGCATATTGGGGCAAGTAACATTTAATTGTTCTCCAGGGCAATTATATTTGTTATGCATGCGCTATATTTTATGATGGTTTAATGCGTGTAACTTAATTATAATGAAATAGAAAATATATCTTAGATTATTGTTTAAATCAAATCAAGATTTAATGCTAACTTGTTATAGCTGTTTTAGTAATGAAAAATAATCTTCAATCATTAACAGACAAGTGTCTCACATTATACATAATCAAATCAGCATTTCAAGATAAGCAGAGCCTCAATTCGGTCGACTCCACAAACCAACATCTTGTGAGGACGACTCGAAAGGCATCACATGTCGACAACCAAAAGACATTGGGCGTCGACCCCTGGCTAAGTCGACTGCTTAACCACTCTACCCGGCCAACACCTTGCGAGGGAGACTCAAAAGACGGTATTTCTCGACCACCGGACGAGTCGAAAGGCGATGAAATACCTCGAGCCTCGAGCGCCCTCGTTTGCACTGGTGACCAATCATCTTGCAATAAATGTCATACGCCATCATTCATCTGCCCCCAAATAGTTTTTATGACACATCGGATCACGTCGACACTGCACACCAATCACTTCGCATTAAAATACCAAAGAAAGCTCTTCTCCACTCGTCGGTCAAAGTTACCATTCTACCCTCCTACCAGTACTATAAATAGAGATACTTTTTTAAATTACAGGGTGAGTTCTGGATTACTACTCAATGTGCTTAAAAACTATTGCAGTTCATTTTTACTTATCCACTCAAGTAACCCATTGACTTGATCGTCGAAGGAATAACCGGGGAACCCAACACCGCCCTCTTATGATTTTCTACTTGTGCAGGGAAGAACAGCTTACTCAAGAACCAGATATTCAGAGGGTTAGAGAACCTTCATCAAATTAATCACTCCTCTCTTTTGATTATGTGGTTTCATACATCAACATAACTAAAGTTTAAAGAGTATATCTCGAACAAGTGATTTGAAACAAGAAAGAAAAAGAGAAAATTGAATAAAGATAAAGGAAATAAAAATTTACAGTAAATCCACCCTTAGATCATATAGAATTATAGTTACCCCGTTCATTATAGATCAATGTAGATTTTATATTTCATCTGTCAAGAATTACTTTGGTGGAAGCTAGTTGTTTTTAAACATTACTAGATTTTATGCACGCGCAATGCACGTGGTTAAATATTGTGATTAGGTTTTTTTGGTTTATTTTTTTTACTAAAATTTGTTCCTCGGTTACTCTTTGATAATTTTTGCTCACTTTGATTAAATATTTTTTTGGTTTATTTTCTTACTAAAATTTGTTTCTCGATTACACTTTGATTATATATTTATTTGATGTTTATTTAAATAGGCCACCCAGTTTAATTTTTTATGTTGATTAGGAGATAAATATAATCTAAAGCCAATTTAAATTTTTATTTCGTTTGGATTGGCATGAAACCGAGCTTGACCTGAGGAAGTATAGTGTTATGAAAGTGAAAACACTTAAAAAATAACATTATAAAAGGAAGATGAATAATAAAGTCAACGAGCCAATATGATTGATTTAAAGTGGGCTAAAATGACATAAAATATTTAATGAAAAAAATCATAAACTGAAGATTAATACTAAGTCCAGTACACTTTTATATGATAAAAACATCCACATATGCATATGAAAGCACTAAAAATAGTTAATGAATATTCATTCTAAAGATTCCTAATTTTACTAAAAAATAAAACTATTCTATAACAATTCACAAAACATTATCTTTTATTGCTTCTATTTTATTTTTTATTGACTCGAGATCAATCCTTCTTCATCTTTATCTTTTTCCTAAGCAATTCTAGAGTAGTGTCTTCATCGTCTATATTGATTGTGATATGAGACTGGAGCATGTTATCTTTCCTTAGGCTCATTCATCTTTTGTCTTCTCCTTTAAATTCACAAAGAAGTTGAATATATTTCTTATGTTCAATACAAACTTTTGATAATACAGACTTTGGTTTTTTCCTATTTTAATAAGAATAAATTTTAATTTTATATATATGAATTTTTTGTGCTTTTAATTTATTACTTAAATAAGGTTAGAAGCTACCTCTTTTTTCTCTGCAATGAATTCTTCTGTTGTGCATCTAATAAGAATTTCTGATGTGTCATAATATTACATTTTGCTCTGTCTGTGTTATTTTCCTTGAGGATCTGAACTAAATATATTATATTTTCATTGCCAATTTACTTTAGATTATAATATTAATATTTAATTTTTGATATATTTAATTCATGAAGAAGGGATATCAATTAACCTTAGTACTACATCATCGGCGATTCTATAACATTTATCATCTGGACACTTATTATTAACATCTCTATCCACTTTTTTATTGTAGTCTTTACAAACATAGAACCACTGCTCAACTCTATTATAAATAATAGTTATCATTGACTTAAAGGTGCGATAGTGTGTTTTTATATTGGTAAATTATTCTTAGGTTTAATTGTATGAATTTTAGAGTAGGTTTTCTAAGATCATACATCTTTCAAATGCTATAATGGTTGTATATATTAGTAATTTAAATTTCTGTTGTATTTATAAAGAGTCTTAATATAGATGCTTTTGTCTTGGCAGCTTACTCTAAAAGAGTATTGCATATTATCTTTAAAATGTAATATTTTTTCTTTACGGTGTTATATGGATGTTTGCTTGGTTTACTTACTATTCTCTTATTTCTTTAGTAAATTATATCTTTGGATTGATATATATTATTGACGCAATTTACGATGGCATGCATATATCCTCTATATATTTGAGATAGATATAAGGTGAATTTTATATTTAGTGGAATTTAATAAGAATTTTAGTAATGAAATATACTACATTCATATTTAGAGATCTTGAATTCTAATAGTGCTATTGCATCATTATCTTTGATCATGTCTTTAAGAATTGATCCTATGTTAGTAATCATACCCCTAAATAAAGTCACACGTATGGTCGTGATACTATATAAGAAAAAGAAAAAGGGTGATTTTATATTTACGCAAAGTCATGACATGGTAAATTTTCTTTTATCTCCCATGAAGAATGTTTCTTTGATTTGAACAAAGTTGTTCAATATATTCTTCAAGGGGTATTCAATCGGTGTTTCTTTGATAAATATAACTTATGTTAGTGTTAATTGAAGCAATTCATGAACGTTCCGAATTCCATTTGAAATGAAAACTGATTGATTCTTTGAAGGATATCTATAAATTTTGTAATAGTTCTCCATACATAAATCTTTATAATTTTCTACCCTATAAATATTATTACCATTAGAGATCAATATTTATAAATTATAATCAATTAATGTTAAGTTATTATATTATAGTCTTTTATTAGTTTTTTGTGATTTTGTCGTCTATCAATTAATGATACTTATGTATTTTTGCTGCTCTAACATATTGGTAAAATTATGTGCAATTACTTTAATTTATTAACATTAATTTTTAATCTATCATATATTTTTTAAAAATTTATTCTTTAACTGGATATTTTTAATCTGTTATTATTACTATTTTTTACCAGTATCAACTTGACTATTTTTAGATTTTAAAAAGGGAAAGTAAACCTTAAATTATAAGTTATATTTATATATCTTAATGAAAGAATATCACACAATTACTCTTTATATTTATATAAGTTCTAAATTTTTAGCTTTTTATTTTGTGTAATTTTAAACTTTTGAGACTATTTTGTCTAATTTTTAAAACTTTTTGCTTTTTTTGTAATACTTCATGTTATAAATTGATACTACAAAGCTGTTTCATATATTTATTAATCTTATTTATTTGTTGAGCTATATATTGTTCATGAGATATTAGGATAGGATATAAGTATGATTAGGATAGATTATAATTTAAATTAAATATTTAAAATAGTACATGGTAATTTTGACCATGAAATTTTTTTCCTGAACTTGTGCTTTTAAAGGAGTATGATATGATATGATTTTTTTTTTCTTAATTTTTTTATAATTTTGGGAATGACTTTTGTCTCTTTAATTTGTTTAGTGAATTTTGTAAATATCTCATCCACATTATATATATTTATAGGTCTACGTTGTTCCTGGGTTCGACCTTTGGGTAGACATTATTTGTCTTATTAATTTATTTGATTTTTTCATATACGCCATTCATTTTGTAGACATTTGTAAATTTGATATTTAATAATTTTATTTAGATTTATATTTCAATTTAAATTGTATCATTATCTTTATACTATGTATATCTAATAAGGATTCATTAATTTATTAACTTACTCTTACTTAATGGAATAATATTTGAATCTCAATAGTATTTTTGTTTACCAAAAGATTTTTCCGATATCGTGCTTTTAAACAGAGTATGATATGATATGAAGTATGATATGATTAATGAAAAATAAGTTTTTTGTCGAAAATGACAGATGTAAATAAGCCCACATCAAGGGTTGTGGATGCTTATTTGCATTAAACCCCTCTCCATCTTTAGTAAAGCCTCTAAAATCAGATAAAATTACACATGCCTCTCTCTTTCTCTTCTTCAATCTTCACTTCACCAGTCCTCCCATTTTTCGTAAGAGATTCTCTCTCTTTGTCTCTCGTAATTGTTTTAACTATTTTTTCTGATGAAAAATCACCATTTTTGGCACAGAGAGCTCAGCAAGCGAAATGGGTCCAGAACCCATTTCGAAATTCACAGAAATCAAGGGGTTTTAATGTGAGAGCAGGACCCAAAAGGATATCTTTTGATAATGACTGCAGAAGGGCTCTTCAGTCTGGGATTGATAAGCTTGCTGATGCCGTCTCAGTCACTTTGGGACCTAAAGGTATTGCCTTTTGATTCTTTCTTTGTTTCAATTTCAATCCAATGACATTCTTTTTTGTGGTTAATTTGGGTATATAAGCTTTTGGGTGTGGTTGGAATTTAAGATTATTTTCTTTGTTCAGGAAATTTGAGAATTAAGGTTCATTTGATTATTCAAATGATACGTTTGATCAAGGAAAAGTTTAAAAGTGGTTCAACAGTTTTAGACTCACTTAATTTATAATGTCTCAGTGTATATTGTCGTTGCGTTCTTCAATTAGTTGAACTTTTATTTCTTTTCCAAGACTAGAGGGTTTAATTATAAATGCTTCTTGATTGCTATAAAGGCACCTAATATTTGTCAAATTCGTGTGATGGGAATAATATTGTATGGCCACCAACTCATTTGTTTTTAAACAAGTATATTTACAATCTGTTAATTATTCCTTGATATTGAAATTAGTCAATAGTCAAAATGTTGGCAATTCCTTGTTAAGAGATTAAGAAGATAAAAGGATAATAGGGTATGAATTTAGTTGCAGCAAGAGCATAGTTTATTGATAACAAAATACCTTGGAGAATGCGAATGAGACCTTTTCAGGTAAACTGTGCGCACGCGCGGGGGTTTGGGTTCCTAGGTTCAATTTCAAGCTACAGTCTTTGTTCATGGGGTGGCCGAAAAGGAGGGGGGGGGGAGCATTTGAGGATGATCCAGCCACGAGTTTTCATTGTAATTATAAGCCAAAACTATACGAATGCAGTTCTTTCAGTGATACCCTAGTATAAGAATAATGTTTCCTTTGGTGTAGCCGATTGCCTTTTGGACTGCTGTATATTGAAGATGTGTGATTTTGTAGGAATGGTAGGGATGATCCACTAATTGCATGAAGCGTTCTGTTGTTTTCAAATGCAGCAATCTAGCTATTTTTTCCTCAAACTTTTAGAGCCTTTTTATGTCACTTTGTTTTGTCCCCAAATGTGTGAATATCTATCATGAATACAAAGAAAATAAACGGGTGTATTGACTCTGTGTATAGTTACACGTGGTAAATTTCCTAATATAAACAAGGTTTTCAGTGCAGGGCGTAATGTTGTTCTTGATGACCCGGGAATACCTAAAGTAATCAATGACGGTGTTACAATTGCTCGAGCTATTGAACTCCTGGACCCAATTGAGAATGCGGGTGCAACGTTAATCCAGGAGGTTCTGTTCAGAACAATATATATAACTGAATATTCCAAAAACAACATCTTTTACATTAGCAACTACTGAATGCCTTTTCCTCCTTTCTTTGCTCACATCAAACAGGTAGCCTCTAAGACAAATGACTCGGCTGGTGATGGCACTACCACTGCAATTATCTTGGCTCGAGAAATTGTTAAATTAGGGATGTTAGCGATTGCTTCGGGGGCTAATCCAATTGCTTTGAAGAGAGGAATTGATAGAGCAGTTAGTGAACTTGTTCAAATCTTAAGGACTAAGTGTCTTCATATAAGCAGGAAGGAGGATATAAAAGGTACCCTGCCTCTTTATTCTTTAATATAAAAGTTTTGCAGGTTGAAAATTAGAGTTCAACAAAGTATTGATTTGATGTCATTTTCAGCCGTGGCCTCAATTTCTGCTGGAAATAATGATTTCATTGGAGATTTAATTGCTGGAGCTATAGATCAAATTGGTCCTGATGGGGTTATAACAATTGAATCATCCTCTTCTTTTGATACCACTGTTGAAGTGCAAGAAGGAATGAAGGTACTAAAATTTATCCTGGTCAACGATAATCTTGGTAATTAAATTTACCAGAACTTTATTCAAAATTTTAAGTTGTTAGGTTGTTGGCTAAGAGGTAGCTTGGGAACAACTTTACCCCAAAGCTTAAGCTGATGGATTGTGTGCTAATAAAAGATCACACTTTTAACATATGAAATTATAGCTACATATTCCTTTTTGTTTTCTTTAATTATGTATTCATTCAAGGGCTTAATATTTGGAGGTAATTCACTCTACTCTTTTTTTTAGTCACCCAACATAAGAGTATAATAGGCAGAAGGTAAACATTTCTAAGCATTTGCACCTATCAAAGTTAAAAAATGTAAGCTTTAAAATTTCATACAGTATGTCAACCTTTTAGTTTTATCTTGTATGCTTTTATACTCATTACTAGTCATGAATTTCTGCAGGTAGACAAGGGTTACCTGTCTCCCCATTTCATTACAAACCAGAACAAATCAATTGTGGAATTTCAGAATGCTAAAGTGTTAGTAACTGACCAAAAGATAACTAGTATCAAAGACATCATTCCTTTGTTAGAAAAGACCACTCAACTGAGTGTTCCATTGTTAATTATTGCTGAGGATGTTTCAAGCGAAGTGCTGGCAACTCTGATCCTTAATAAGCTGCGAGGAATAATAAATGTTGCAGCCATCAAGTGTCCAGGGTTTGGAGAGGGGAAGAAGGGTATTTTGCAAGATATTGCTCTAATGACTGGTAAACTTATTTACTTATATTGCATGTATAACAAATACACATGCATATGCTCCATAATTGTTTGCATATTTATTTTAAGCCAACTTTCAGAAAAACCCCTGAAGTATTGGGGTTTTGCACAAATCCCCCATGCACTTTATAAATAGGAGAAATCCCCCTTTAACTGTCGCGCATAAGTTCTTAACTACCTTGACTGACAACATTAACTTCAAGTTGTCATATTTGCGACAACTTTTGGACAATTTTACCCTATCGGACTTCAATATTATCCTTGTCGAGTAAGGGTAGGTAAAAAGTAAAAAAAAAGGTATTTTAGATTTTCATTTAACACAGTTTTTGAAAATTTCCAAGAATTCAGGGGGATTTAGTATAATACTGAACGCTCAGAGTAGTTTCCTGTGATTTATAAATTTCAGGGAGTTTTGTGCAAAACCTCCCAAATTTCAGGGGGTTTATGAAATTTAACCTTATTTTAAAGAGCTTAGTTTTTTCTGATAAAGATAATTATGCTGAATGATGTTAATACCATGCCTGTTCATGCATCACTTGTTAATTCTAATTTTTAGATTTTTTTAACATTCTGTAAATTTTGGTTTGTTGGTGATACTGCTACCTTGCTATGAAAATAGGTGCTGATTTTCTTGCTAGTGACTTGGGGTTGACGCTTGAAGATGTTACTTCAGACCAGCTCGGTATTGCTCAGAAGATTACTATCACTAGCAATTCCACAACCATTGTAGCTGACCCATCTACCAGAGCTGAGATCCAGGCACGAATTTCACAAATAAAGAAGGATTTAGCTGAATCAGATAATAGCAATCTGTCAAGAAAGCTCTCTGAAAGGATCGCAAAGCTCTCTAGTGGTGTAGCTGTGATCAAGGTTTACCTTCTTTTTTAGATAATCTGTAAATTATCTTCTCTTGAATCTCTTGTCCCTCTTGATTTGTAATTCTTACTCTATATAATAATTGCATGACTATTCTTAAGTTATCTCCAAGTACTCAAACCTCTAGTTGATGGTAAGCTTATTGGTTTGGGCTTGATAAGGTAGAAATTTGATTGTAGTTGCATGCACACATGTCCAATATACGAGTTCCTTTAGGCTACTACCAATCATATCATATCATACTCTCTTTAAAAGCACGAGTTCGGGGAAATCTTTCGGTAGACAAAAATACCCTTGGAATTCAAATATTATTCTATTAAGTAAGAGTAAGTTGATAAATTGATGAATTCTTATTGGATATACATAGTATGAAGATAAGGATACAATTTAAATTGAAATGTAAATCTAAATAAAATTATTAAATACCAAATTAAATGTCTACAAAATGAAGGGCGTATATGCAAAAAATAAATAAATTAATGAGATAAATAATGTCTACCCCAAAGGTCGAACCCGGGAACAACGTAGACCAACAAATGTACATAATGTGGATGAGATATTTAAAAAATTCACTAAACAAATTAAAAAGATAAAAGTCATTCTCAAAATTATAAAAAATAAAAATTAAGGAAAATAAAAAATCATACTCCCTTTAAAAGCACGAGTTCAGGAAAAGTTTTCCATAGTCAAAATTACACTGTACTATTTTAAATATTTAATTTAAATTATAATCTATACTAATCATACTTATATCCTATCCTAAAATCCCATGAACTATCTATAGCTCAACAATTTAAATAAGATTAATAAAATATATGAAACATCTCCGTACTATCAGTTTATTACATGAAGTATTACAAAAAAAGTAAAAAAAATTAAAAATTAGACAAAATACTCTCAAAAGTTTAAAATTACACAAAATAAAAAGCTGAAAATTTAGAACTTGGCAAAGAAAAGAGTTATGATGTAATAGCACTAATAGAATTCAAGATCTCTAAGTATGAAGATAGTATCTTAATATTAATTGATTATAATTTATAAATATTGATCTCTAATGGTAATAATATTTATTAGGTAAAAAAATTATAAAGATTTATGTATGGAGAACTATTTGAAAATTTAGAGATATCCTTCAAAAGAATCAAGGAGTTTTCATTTCAAATGAAATTCGAAACGTCCATGAATCACTTCAATTAACACTAACATAAGTTATATTTATAAAAAAAAACACCGACTGAATACTCCCTGAAGAATATATTGAATAACTTTGTGCTCATCAAAGAAACATTCTTCATAGAAGATAAAAGAAAAATTACTATACTTTGCGTAAGCAAAAAATATATAATCGGCCTTTTCTTTTTCTTATATAGTATCAAGATCCTGCGTGTGACTTTATTTAGGGGTATAACTACTAACGAATGATCAATTCTTAAAGACACTACCAAAGATAATGATGTAATAACACTATTAGAATTCAAGAAAGATCTCTAAGTATGAATGTAGTATATTTCATTAGTAAAATTCTTATTAAAGGCCACTAAATATAAAATTTAACTTATATCTGTCTCAATTTTATAGAGGATATATGCATGTCATCGTAAATTGCGTCAATAATATATATCAATCCAAAGATACAACTTACTGAAGAAATAAGAGAATAGTAAGTAAACCAAACAAACATTCATATAACACTGTAAAGAAAAAAATATTATATTTTAAAGCTAATATGCAACACTCTTTTAGAGTAAGCTGCCAAGACAAAAACATCTCCATTAAGGCTTTTTATAAATACAACAGAAATTTAAATTATTAATATATACAACCATTATAACATTTGAAAGATGTATGATCTTAGAAAACCTACTCTAAAATTCATATAATTAAACCTAAGAATAATTTACCAATATACAGACACACTATCGCACCTTTAAGGCAACGATAACTACCATTTATAATAGAGTTAAGCAGTGATTCTATGTTTGCAAAGGTTACAATAAGAAAGTGGATAAAGATGTTAATAATAAGTGTCCAAATGATAAATATTGTAGAATCGCCGATGATTTAGTACCAATGTTAAGTGATATCCCTTCTTCATGAAATAAATATATCAAAATTAAATATTAATATTATAATCTAAAGCAAATTGACAATGAAAAATTTAATGTATTTAGTTCAAATCCTCATGGAAAATGACACATACAAAGCAAATGTAACATTATGACACAATAAAAATTCTTATTGGATGCACAATGGAAGAATTCATTGCAGAGAAAAAAGAGGTAGCTCCTAATCTTATTTAAGTAATAAATTAAAAGCATAAAAATTTATATATATATGAAATTAATATTTATTCTTATTAAAATAGTAAAAAATTCAAAGTCTATATTGCCAGAAGTTAGTGTTTAATATAAGAAATATATTCAACTTCTTTGTGAATTTAGACGAGAAGACAAAAGATGAATGAGCCCAAAGAAAAATAACATGCTCCAGTCTCATATCAAAATCGATGTAGACGTTGAAGACACTACTACTCTAGAATTGGCTAGGAAAAAGGTAAAGATGAAGAATGATTGATCTCGACTCAATAAAAATAAAATAGAAGTAACAAAAGATAATGTTTTGTGAATTGTTATAGAATAATTTTATTTTTTAGTAAAATTAGGAATCTTTAGAAGAGATTTTCATAAACTATTTTAGTGCTTTCATATGCATATGTGGATGTTTTTATCATATAAAAGTGTATTAGAGTTAGCATTAATCTTCTTATGATTTTTTTTTCATTAACCATTTTCTGTCATTTTAGTTTATTTTAAATCAATCATCTTGGATCGTTGACTATATTATTAATCTTCCTTTTATAATGTTATTTTTTCAAATGTTTTTACTTTCATAACACTATACTTCCTCGGGTCAAGCTCGGTTTCATGCCGATCCAAATGAAATTAAATTTAAATTGGCTTTAGATTATATTTATCTCCTGACAATTCAACTATCAACATAAAAATTTAAAATGGATGTAGCCTATTCAAACAAATATCAAATAAATAAATAACCAAAGTGTAGTCGAGGAACAAATTTTAGTAGAAAATAAACCAAAAATACTTAATCAAAGTGAGCAAAAATTATTATCAAAGAGTAACCGATGAATACATTTTAGTAAGAAAATAAATAAAAATACCTAATCACAGTATTTAACCACGTGCATTGCACGTGCATGAAATCTAGTAGTATCAAACATGCAGGTAATATCAATCCAAATTTATGAATTCATCTCTCAAGTTAACAATCCATGTTGATGGATATGGTTTTGGTATGAGTTATCCATGCATACTAGACAGAAAGTATCCATAAACTAAAATTAAATAGCTCCAATATGACTTATCCATGCATCAAGTGACAACATGTTACTTTGTTTTATAAGAATTTAAAGCAACTGATCTATGGGCAATTGATGCATGAAGTAAATCATATCAAAACCATTTGATCTCTTTGTTCGTAAATAGTTTATGTTTAATAGATTACGTCTATACTTTTGGCATTGATTTTATGCTTATTATAACAGGTCCTAACGAATGCGCTGGTATTTTCAAGCCCATGTCAGATTTAATGGAAACATCTTTAACTATTTATTAGTGAACCTACAGAATCAAGATTCATCGTATAAAGAAATGATCAGGATGAGTAGTTTCTATAGACAGGAGCTTTCTTGGTTACAACGAAAAATGAAAAAGAACTAGAATGCAGCATTACGGTGTGTTTCACTGTTCTAAATAATAATTTTTCTTTATATAAAAGAGCATTTACTTTAAACTGGCCAATTTAAAGTTTAGATGTTGTTGAGGGTGGGAGGGGTGGGGGGGGGGGGGTGACACACTTATTGTGAATTTGATAAACAAAGTGAAAAAAAGCACATCAGTAAAGAAAGTTCCGTCCTGAATTTGAACCCTCAATTAGCTTGTGGTACTTGGTTTTTTATCTTAACTAGGTAAAATACAACGCAACAGGTATAGAGCCCTATATGAAACATAAGCAGTCTTTCTCCATATAATCGTCATGACACTTAAAACACATGGAGACTTTCTGAAGGATTTACTCGTAATTTTTTTCCTTCTGTTGATTTTGTCTTTCTATTGATAAGAGATTCCATGCTGAGTTCTTCAGAGTCATGTTAGATCTTCCTCTGAATTTTAAAGAAATACTACTGATGTTCAGGTGGGAGCAGCCACTGAGGCTGAACTTGAAGATAGGAAGCTCAGGATTGAGGACGCAAAGAATGCTACCTTTGCTGCCATAGATGAGGGAATAGCACCTGGAGGTGGTGCAACATATGTACAATTATCAAAGCATATTCCCAAAATAAGAAAATTGATCGAAGATTCAGAAGAGAAAATTGGCGCTGACATAGTTGAAAAGGTTTGGACTCCCAATTATCATGTGATTGCCGAATGAGTACATACATTTCCTTTATTGCTTCGGTATTGCATTATAGATGTAAATGAAAATACTAGTGTTCCTATCATGCTTCTTGCAAAAGCTGACTTGAGAAATAACCAGTATGTAGGCTTGAAAGAACTGCTGAAGTTATTTAACCTTGAAAGTGAGACATGACTGCAGCTGTTGTATTTTGTTAATATCATGAAGGGAACCTACTTATGTTATTTCCTTTAGAAAGATCACTCTATATTGACTTTAGCAAATTCTGTACAGCATAGAAGCCTTAATTACATACAGGTGATTCATATTTGATAAGTCAAATCTTGAATAATCTAGCAAAATTAAATTAATTTAACCAAGGGTTAATTGCAAGCACGCCCCCTGTACTACGGTGGTGTAGCCACTTACACCCCTAGCCTTTTTATTTAGCACTTACACCATTTGAGCCTCAGATGATGTTTCTTTTGCTCTCAATTTAGACGACAATTTAGTTTTTTTTCCAGTTAAACTGAGGGCAAAAGGTGATTTTTGTCGCACAATTCCACATGACATCTCAGCCTAACTTGGGAAAATAATGTCATATGGAGTTTCAGGGATTCAGTGCTAGTAAAACAGTTTAGGGGTATAAGTGGCTAGACCCCTCATATTACAAGCCATTACGAGAGGTTTATATTTAATTAACAGTTAAATCAATTTAGCTTATAAATAAAGGATTTTTGTCATATTGGAACCCCATATCTTTGTTTCTAGACCTTTACATCTTTATATTTCTAAATTAGACCCCCCAAATATTTATATTTGTAGAAATGGAGGCCTTATTAACAACTTAATAGATCAGGGTGCAAAGAAAATTATGGTGAAAACTGCTTCATGGATTTGGTGTTCTAATTTAAAAATCTTCAGGCACTTCTCGTACCAGCCATGTCAATAGCGAACAACGCAGGAGTTGATGGCGCAGTTGTCGTTGAGAAACTTCTTTCCAGTGAATGGCGAATCGGATACAATGCAATGACTGACGAGTACCAAGATCTTCTTGAATCTGGTGTTATAGATCCATGCAAGGTTTCGAGGTGTGCACTCCAAAATGCTGCCTCTATTGCCGGAGTAATCCTCACAACCCAAGCTGTTCTTGTTGAGAAAGTAAAGCAGCCAAAGCCTGCAGTTCCTCTTGTTCCTGGAATCTCACCTTAAATTTTCAAAAGAGCATTTCAGAACTAAAGAAGAAGCTAACCAGGCTGAACATGTGCATTCTATGTGCGCGTTATACTCCAAACTTGTGTTGGATTTCGTCTCAAATTTGGTAACTGATGGATACCAGTGCGTTAATTGAAAATTTTTGGTCATACTTTGACAGATGCATCAACATTTTTATGACATAAACTGATTAGTTTTATCTTTTAGTAGGAGATATTACCTGTCCATTTTAATTTGATGTATAGTGTCAATAGTTGCTTTGTATTTATTTAAATGATTGGAGAAATTATGTTCCTTGATTCTTGTAGTAGTGCACTTCTGTATACGGAGACTGGCGATTTTTTATAGTCTTAACAGCATGCAAAAATGGATGAAAGATGTTAAATTTGTTGATCATAGCTGTTAATTATTCTGATTGGAACAAGATTATATGCTGAATACAAATCCCCTAAGAGCAGCTCACACGCGAGCAACTTATTCTGACACGCGCAAGGGGTAGGGAAATTCCCAAAATGCCCCTTACTTTGCACTCGACTGGATAAGCTACAACGAGGCTCTGATACAAGAGGGCCGTCTGCAGTTAACCTTACTGGTGTGTTTGGATGGTTACTGGTGTGTTTGGATTTGGAGGTGAACCAATGAAAGTTAAAAGTGAAATTTTGTTTTCGCTCCGTTTGGGAGTTTTTTGAGGGGTTAGAGGATGGAAACGTGTGTAAAATTTGCACTCATTTTTGTCCCCTCCAATTTGGACGGTAGAGGAAGTAATGAAAACGGGAGTAAAATTTTACAACGTAATAAGACAACTATACTTTTATCACACTAAAATATATGGCCAAGATTTATTCCCATCCAATATATAAAGGTATTTATGTAACTTTGACTATATTCACTTTACTTCCATCCTCTAGTATAGAACTCCCAAATAAGGTAAAACAAATTTACTTCCGTTATCTCGACTAAACTTCCAAACAACATTTTATCTTCTCACTTCCATTCCTTACCTTTCCTTTCCGTTATTTAACTTTCAGCCCCTTCCCTTAGTTTAACTCCCAAACACACCCTACAGATAATAGAGTGTAAAATTTTTGACAAAATGATCGTATATAAACAGTCTGTTCCGATCCACTCAAGGGAAAAATAATGAGCTATTTTGGGAATTTCCGTACCCCTTGAGCAAGATTAGAACATCCCGCTCGCAATGCGGGTCGTCTTAATTGGATTTTTACTTCATATGGTCAAAAGGTTAACTTCAGGCAAAACTCACGACCCTTTATGTTAGAATATTAACGGATAAATCCTTTAGTGGATGAACGATCATTAGAACTCTGCTGATCAGAGTTATCACGTGCAAGCTATGTGCTTTCTAATTTGGTGATTAGGCCGAATTTGGAATGACCAATGTGATCCTAAAATTCGCTGGATTTTGGCAAGACAATCTGATCAAGGGGGATATCTTAATTTAGGTTGATTTTAGTTTAATTAGAAGTTTTGAACAATACTAGAATCCTCCAATTTTCAAATAGATGCGCGCTTAAACAAATTTAACCTTTTTACTATATTAATGATATGCCCTCTCATATATCAGTATTAAAAATGTTTCAAAAAACTTGGTTTTTTACTTTTTTTAGATGCTTACCTATTTTAATAAATTTCTTACATGAATTCCTTTGAAATAAATAATTTAAATTAGATGCAGTTGATTCATTAAACTTATGTTCATAAGTATTGCAGAATAAATTGTTTAGAAGCTCTTCTACTCTTTTTTTTAAGCCATAAAATGTATTTTAGTCAGTAGCCAAAAAAAGTATTTTAGTCATATTTGAAATATAATTAATTCCCCTTTGGGCTTAAGTCTGATTAGAGTAGAGAATAGTAGAATTCTGCTACTAAATATAATTTTGTGACAAACATCTAACGAAAGTTAGTCATCATTTTCCTATCACACACAGATATAATCCATTTAGATAAATCCAAAATTGTATTTTTTATAGCAGACAAATCCAAAATATTAAGAGGCACATTTTGTAGTAGTGAAACAAGTAAAATTGACTAGCGCGATGCTGCTCTATTAGCGTGAAAAAATTGAAAATAATTTCTTAAGTATTTGATTTAGAAATACACGATGCACATTTAGCAAATTACAACAAAATATTGAAAGTCACAACTAAACATAGCAACTACCATCGTCTACCAAACTACTGAAATACAAATTATCTTAAAAACTAATTTATTAGAGTATTAGATTTAAGAGTGATTTTGATTGTAGGTTGTGGTGGGTGGGTGGGTGGGGGGGTTGTGGATTCTAAAAGGAAATGGTGGGTGGTACAACTTTGGGTTTATAGGCAAACAATCCAAATGAAGTTTCCGATGCCTCTATGTAGTATGGAAAACATTTTTTTTAAGAACTTTGTTTAAAAACACATTATACACTTAACCCTAAAACAAATATAGCAAGTTACAAAAGTTATAGAAACTTACACATACCTTTGGTTTAAATATATACTTATAGTTAACGACTTGGAACAAAAATATGTCAAATTATAGCAAAATGTAACAACTTATATCATACACCAAACTTTTGAAATTAAAAATTAATTAAAACTAATATAAGTGAGGGGTTATCAATTAATATGCAAACAATCTTTTTAAAAGTGGGTGGGTTTAAAATAAACAAGGCTAAAAGTCCGAGATTTATAGGGAAATTTTTATAATTTTCTATATATATACTAAAGTTTTTGGGATGAACATTGCATAGCTACAATAAAAGTAATAAAAAAAGTCCCAAAACATTGTGAAGCACGTGGTGTGGAGCCTATAAACTGCGTGAAGAGATGTTGAGCAGCAAAGTGTGAACGAATGACGCGTTTAGAAACTCGTGAAGTGATTGCGCGGGGAGGCTAAGAACCAACGAACAAAAGAAGAGGTCCACCCGATTGTTTGTTATGCACTATATATATATATATCTCTCTTCATGCGTGACCTAGGGTGGTGTGCAAAGGAAAATCACATGGGGAAATTTTTGGCGGTTGTGCTTGGTGAAAAAGTGCAGGCAGAGGAAAAGAAAAATCGCAGAGAGAAAAAGTTTGGAGGCTGGCCTTTTTTTTTTTGAGAAGAAAAGCATGGAGCCTATTTTGAGGGTTTAATTTGTGAGAGTTGTGTGATTGTAAACCCTATTTGTATTCTTTTTCCCTCTAATAGTAGATCTCCCCCCTCCGACGTAGGCAATTTGCCGAACCACATTAAAATTAATTATTCGTGCTGTGATTTGTAATAGAGAGTTTAGGTTCTCTCGACAAGTCAGTCTTAGAACTGATAAGAGGAAGAGATGATATCCCACTTTGTTAAGATATTTTGCTTTTGATTCTTATTTTCTTTGTGAAACATGGATTTAGTTGAGATCTACTCTCTTGTTGTGCACCAAAGGTGTTGCCGAAATTTTCGTTGTGCACAACAAGTGGTATCAGAGCTCGGGCTACGTTTGGGTAATTTGGAGGAGTAAATCGCTTTGGAAGCTCGTTTAGGGTTTCAATTGGAGTTAAAGGTGTGATCTTTTGGTAAAGGCTCTATCCTTCTCAAGTTTGGATCTATTCTTTAGTTTGTTCCACATTGGTTGTTGGTGTGTTGAGGGCTATGGCCGGGAAAGAAGATGTTGAGGGTGGTGCTTCTAGTATGAAGACCATTCAAAGTTTGAATATCCACTCTACGAATATAGACATGGAGAAGTTTAATGGCACGAACAACTTTTGACTTTGGCGATGCGAAGTTTTGGATGCGCTGAACGCGTAAAATTTGGAGGATACTTTGGAGTTGGATGGAAAACCCATATGATTTTGAAGAGAAGGTTTGGAAGAAGATGAATCAGATGGTGTGTGGTGTTATTAGGTCTTGTTTAACACAAGATTTGAAGTATAATGTGATGAATGTGACTTCTGTAAAGAAGATTTGGGAGACCCTTGAGAGCAAGTATTTGACTAAGAGTGTGAAAATCGATTGCATTTGAAGAAGAGGTTTTATCGCTTCCAATTGAAGAAGGAAACCTCCATTAGTGATCACATGAATCACTACACGAAGCTTCTTGCAGATTTGACGAATGTGGATGTTATGATTGAAGATGAGGACAAGGCGTTGCTGTTGTTGAGTTCCTTGCCTGATGAGGAATACAAGACCTTTGTTCTTACCCTAATTAATGGGAAGGCATCCCTTTCGTATAGTGAGGTCACCGCTGCACTTATAAACTATCAGCTTCGAAAGAAGGATAAAGAGGCTTTAGTTGAGCCGGTAGCAGAGGCATTGATCGCAAGAGGGAAGAATCCAAACCGAAAGAATTAGAAGTTACAGTCTAGAGTAGGGCATCCTACAGTTAAAAAAGATCAGTGTGCTTGGTGCAAGGAGACTGTTCATTGGAAGAAAGATTGTCCAAAGCTCGGCGAATAGATAAAGAATAAGCAGAAGGGAAAAGAGAAGCAACCATCATCAGAAGCAAACATCGTTATATCGGATGGTAATATTTCTGATACTTCTATTTATCCGCTTTCTATCAATCCTACAAGTAGCTATTCAGAGGAATTTGAGTGGATGTTGGATAGTGGTGCGACCTATCATGTATGCCCTAGAAGGGAATGGTTCTCCAGTTTTGAGAAACTGGATAGTGGTGTGGTGTTCATGGGCGACAACCATGCATGTCAGATCCTTGGGATAGGAAGAATTCACATCAAGATGTTTGATGGGACTGTTAGAGAGTTATATGAAGTGAGATATATTCCTTCTTTGAGGAAGAACTTAATCTCAATTGGAGCTTTAGTTAGAGAAGGTCTGAAGGTTCATGTTGAGGACATGGTTCTCGAGATCGTGGAAGACTCATTGATTGTGATGAAGGGCGTCAGGAGAAATAATCTGTACTATTTGATTGGAGATACAGTGACAGATGGAGAGCTGGCAACTTTTGTTGATTCGACTAGACTGCGGCATTTGGGGCTTGGTCATTCTAGTTTTGATTTGAAGATGAGTGCATCGACCTGCAATTTGAAATCCAGTGAATACTTTGGTGTGAGCAAAAAGACTAAGGTGAAGTTTGGCACCTCTATTCATCGCATGGAGGGTCTTTCAGACGGGGTCCACATGGATATTTGGGAGCCTCCCAAGGAGACATCGTTGGGAGAAAATAGATGTTTGGTTTCCTTTGTTGGTGGCTGTTCTAGGCGAGTTTGGATTGCAACCAAATCCCCTTTGAATAAAGTCCTAGTAGTCTCTAACAGATTGAAAAAGTGTGTGATAGATAGAAAGATGGATGTACTTCATTCTGATTTTTGTAGGAGGTATAAGATGGACCTGTTTGTGTATTAGAGCCAAGCTCACAGCATTTCGAGACACTTCGTTGAAAAGGAAATCTTGGGGCAGCTAGATAGGGTGAAAAATTTGGAGAACTGTGCATTGCTGGAGGAGGATCGGTGTTCGTTGTCAAGCAATGGTCTGCTACCGTGATAGGAGGTAAAACTCGATTGGGTGTTTGGTCTGGTAGTGTCACTTCTGTTAAGGTTTCGATGAGGGAGCTAATTGACTCTCAACAGGTGGAGAGTTTTGGACAGACCTTAGATGCATCGCAGCGGGTGGAGAGTGATGCTACTCCATATTAGGTAAAGATTACTCCACATACTCCAGATCATACTGCATTATTTAGGATTCCAGCTGAGGTGACACAGCTTGGGGATCAATTGGTTTTGGATGCAGATGATGAGTTAGGTTTTGATTCGAGTGTTGCTGATAGATGTAGTTTGGATATGGCCATTGGTTCACCTCAGGTGGAGGTGTTTGATGCGTTACACTTTGAGGCCATTGGAAGTGCTATTAGCCGCAGAGTTGATGATATTGTAGAAGGGTTACGAACTCTTCTATTGGATTGAGGTCGTTGGCGTCCATTTGGATGAACTACGTGAGGCTTGATTCCTTGGGCAAGAGGATACGTAGGTAGTCTTTATGATGCAGCCGATTTGGTGAGTTGATACCAACATTTGGAGAGTGTTCGTATTCTCGTTTAGGCCTCGACTTGTTATGGATTGAGTCCGTTGTCGTGAATTATTTCACTTCATACTGGGCGCAACAAGTAAGACATTTGTTTTTGGTTGGTGTCGGCTCAGTTTTGGAAAAACTTCACCGAGGTGAAGAATTATGAAGCACGTTGTGTGGAGCCTATAAACCGCGTGAAGAGATGTTGAGTAGCAAAGTGTGAACGAATGACGCGTTTAGAAACTCGTGAAGTGATTGTGCGTGGGAGGCTTAAGAACCAGCGGACAAAAGAAGAGGCCCACCCGATTGTTTGTTATGCACTATATATATCTCTTCATGCGTGACCTAGGGTGATGTGCAAAGGAAAATCGCAGGGGGGAATTTTTGGCGGCTGTGCTTGGTGAAAAAGTGCAGACAGATGAAAAGAAAAACTGCAGAGAGAAAAAGTTGAGAATATCTTCATCTTTTGAAAGATCAAACGAGACATTGAGAAACTTCTCGAGAGAGTAACTTATCAACAAACTTTCGTACGATACTCTAAAATTCTCTGCAGCTTGCATCTTCAATTCAACTAAACTTGTTGCAGAGTTAACTTTAATGAGGGTTGTATTAGTGTTATATGAAATCACACATATTAAAGAATCTTCCATTTTGGTTGTTGAAGAAGTTAAGAAGAAAAAGTTAAGAATATTTTGGTTGTTGAAGGTTGTTGAAGGTCTTATGAGTAGAGCTAAAGAGGGAATAAGATATTAAATTGAGATGATGCATTATTTTGGAGGGAACTTAGTAGGTTTCCCTTCAATTTTCCTTTTCCCTCCAAAAATCCTCTCCAGCCATAACCCCAATCGGAAGTGACTTCCGACTTCATGATGGCATGATATGCTGGCTAATAAGACAAAATACTTTACACCCTCCATAAATGGGTACAAATGGGTAAAATGAACAATACATAAAAATATACTATAAAGTATATATACAATGTTGGGCTAGGGGTGTTTTAGCATGAAAACTTGGGTCAAAGAGCTTACAAGGGGTTGGCTCTAGTTGGGGGAGGAGGATGCATAACCCAAGTTTTTTTAGTTCCTCCAAGCAATTTTTCCTTAAATCAAATGTATTAAAACTTAGAGAGAGACAAGTTCAAAATATAGTGCTTCAAAAAATAGGGGGTCGTACTTTGCACGAGGTGCACACTAATGTTACTAAAAGTGAGTGGACTTAAAAAGGAGTTGGGTTAAAAGTTTGGGTTTAAGTTAGTGGGACAACATCTGTAGCCTGTAGCCATAAACAGTGATAGCCGCTTCAGTATTAGTCTACAACGAGCGAAATTGACTCGTGCCGAGAAAACTAAAAATATAATAATAATATTTTAAGTATTTTAAAATAGACTCTATATAGCTAATCATTTGGAACAAAAATATTAAAACTTACATTATGTACCAAATTGCTAAAAGTAAAATTTAAAAATATTTGGTGAATCTAAGGCTGATTGTGGAAGTAGGTGAGTTCAAAAATAGATGAGTAACCTTTGAGTAGATTGGCTAAAAAGCCCTTTTTGTAAAATGAGTAGGTTTAAAAATAAGAGTTTTTAGGCGTTAGTCTCTTACATCTTTAATAATTCCATATTAATACTCAAAATCTTGGAAACTGCATATTAGTCCCTAAAATTCTATTGGGTTTTGCAAAATGGTTCCTATGACAAACTGACATTAGATTTGAGGGGAATATCCCCCCCCAAATCATACTGTTGGAGGCAAATTGTTGATTTTATACCTTTGTTAAGTTTCCTAACACATTTCTTAATGGATTTAAATCATAAAAGAACCCTAATTCAAAGCTAAGCTTCACAACGGTTATATTTCTCACTTTTGAAATATCAAAGAAAGATATTTTTATCTCTTTTATCATGATTCAAGGTTTCAAGAGCACTTATGCCTTCACATTTTCTTAGGGAAATTTATGACAAGAGCAATTTAGTAATTGTGGATGTTGGATTAGGGGTTATTTCAATCATCATTGAGTTTTAAAACTAAAAAACTAATAAAAGGACCTTTTTGCAAGACCATATTGGATTTTAGAGATTGACATGCAATTTCCAAATTTGGAGGGGCTAATATGAAATTATTAAAGATGTAAGGGTCTAATATCTAAATGGAGTCTTTGAATGGAATATTCGAGGGCTAGGAGAGAGCTTGGAAGTGTGTGGATTTAAAAATAAATGGGGGTAAACTTTGAGTATATATGCAAAAAATTAGCTTTTTTCAAAGTGCATGGGTTTAAATATAAATGAGATAAGATCGGGTTTATATGTAGAAAAGAAGATGGGGTTTAAGAATTTTTCTGCAAATATATGATAAGGAAGTGTTTGTTTCAAATTTTTTTTGGCATTTGAGTGGGATTTCAATTTTTAGGATCAAAAAGTGAGTTTTTTGGGGTTTTAGAAATCCATAAACTTTGTTTGTTTCAAACCAAATTTGAGAATATTGAATCCCCAAATTATAAAAAACTAATATTTTTTAGGATTTGCAAAATCCCACTTTTCATAGAGGATGTAGGCTGGATCTCTGACAAAACCCATCCAACTCAGCAAACTCCTCTCGTGACCGATCCCAGACCCAACCCTATAGGCACCACTCTCCCATTTTCGTCTCCCTCCTCTTTTACCCGCCGTCTCATTATCCGCGCGAAAACCCTAGAATCGTTCCCTCCTCTCCGCGTCAACGACCCCACCCCCTCCCTTCTCTCCACCCTCAACCTCAGCGGGCTCCGTCTCCTCCTCAGCTTCCCCAACTCCCAGATCCACCGCTTTACCTCTTCTCAACTCTCCCTAACGTTTTGGGGGTAAATTGATTTGGGGATTCTATTGTTTCAACCGAACTTCTCTCTGCCCGAACAATTCTCCGACCAACTAAGCCTCCTTCGCGGCAGGTAAAACTCGTTCCCTTTCTTCATAAATTAGGGTTTCTTTGTAAATTTGATGAATTTGGTGAAAATATTCGGGAGTTTTTGTGAAATTAATTAGTTCTATTGCTTGGATTATTAGACTGTGAAATTTGTGGCAGATTTGGGGTTATATATGAAATTGATTTAGGTTTTTGTGAAATTAGTTTGACACAATTATTAGACTGTGAAATTTGTGGCAGATTTGGGGATGAAATTGTTCTCTATCTATTGCTTGGATTATTCTTATTCTCAATATATGTTACCTTTACGAAAATACAGTTTTCATTAATCTGAAATTATTTTTTCGACGTCAACGAGTAGCCCACCAAGTCGCTGGTCGAGGGTGGCCAGCGATTTATGAGTCCCTTAATTTGCCACAAGTGTAATTTATTACTTTCTTTTACGTTTTCTTAATCTGTAATATCTGCATTTTCTATTTAGAAAAAAAATAATTGAGAACAAAAGATTAAACCCTAGTATAATATTGACACAAGGGTCCAAGTATTGTTCATATAAAGAATTCATATTTGCTTCTACCTTTATTTCTTCTATTTGCTAATTTTCAGATCTAATTTACTCTATCTATGTTTTTGTACTGCTATAAAAAGAAATTTGAAGAAACTAGTATATATATGGACTTGATTAATTAACTCCTTGAATTTTTGAGGTAAGTACTCAGTTGATCTTCGTGGACCAAACTCATTTCTATAAAAAGATTCCTTAATGAAGTTTTGTGACTTTGTGAGTTTTTTAAAAACAATGTAGATGGACGACATTGATAAAAAGATGTTAATGAGGATGGCTTCTAATGCTACTATCTCCGCGGTGATTTGTGTGTTTGCTTGTTTGATGAGGATACGTAGTAGAAGAAAATCAATCACTTATCAACCTAAGGTGAAAAATAAAGGGAAGATAGGTATGAGAGCTAGGCACATTAGTCATGTGCTTAATGGCTATAATGAGAGTTGTAGGGCTTATGTTAGAATGAGGCCACGTGCATTTCATAATCTTATTAACATAATGAGATATACCGACCTACTAAAAGATTCACTGGGTGTTAAAGTAGAAGAACAATTGCTCATGTTCCTTAATATATTAGGCCATAAAACAAAAAAAATAGAATTGTTAGGTCACATTTCATAAGATCGGGGAAAACCGTTTCAAAATACTTTAACAAGTGCTTGGAAGCCATGGGTCGTTTAGCGGTACATGAAGCAAGCACCAAGTGAAGTATCGCCAGAGATTGCCACTAACCCGTTATACTATCATTATTTCAAGGTAATCATTATTATAATATAACTACTCATAATATAACAGTTAATTTTACCTTTCTATTATAACTACTCATAATATAACAGTTAATTTTACCTTTCTATTATTAATAACTGTTTAATGTATCATATAGGATTGCATTGGCATGATAGATGGAACCTTTTACCTTTCTATTATTAATAACTGTTTAATGTATCATATAGGATTGCATTGGCATGATAGATGGAACCTATATCGACGCTATGCTTCCCACTAGCCTTGTTGCACGTTTTAGAGGTCGTAAAGGTATAACTCAAAATGTTCTAGCTGCATGCACTCCCAACAAGTTATTTTCGTATGTTCTAGCTGGATGAAAGGGATCCACAAATGATTATAGAGTTCTGCAAGACACGTTATCTAGACCACAACCTCGCGGATTGAGAGTTTATGACGGTAATAAATCAATCAAATAAAGTATGTCTACTTAATTATAATTAAAAAATATACTAAATTTCTTTTTGGTAATTGTAGGAAAATATTATTTGTGTGATGCGGGCTACACTACTATGCATGGCTTTAGTGCGGTATAATCTAAATGAACATAAGGGTAGGCCAATTAATAATAGACAATAGTTGTTCAATTTAGGACACTCATCCCTAATGTCTAAAATTGAATCAACTTTTAGGGTATTAAAAAACCATTTCAAAATCCTATCCGCGAAGCCGCATTACCCTTTTCCAACTCAAGTTGATATAGTTATTGCATGTACTATACTTCATAACTACATCGCCATAGAAGACCCGGGCGATGAGTTGTTGCATGAGGACAACCATATTGAAGAGGATGGAGATGAAATAGCAAATGAAGGTGAAGAGGGTATTGCTGACTTTACTCAAACTATGACACAAAGAGAGGAAAGAGATTCAAGAAATGAATGGAGAGCAAAGAGGGATCAAATTGCAATTGAAATGTGGGAAGATTATTATGATAAATATCACGGTGGAGACACAACCGAGATTGAGATGTAATTTAAGTTATATTTTCCATGTATTATTATACTCGTTGATATATTGTCTACTACCTCTATGTATTCATTGATATATGAGCTGCTTGGCTTGTTTGCATACTGGTTTTTCATGCTCTTGGATTATTTGAGTTTTTCGGATTTAGCTATGATGATTGGGCTTTATGAATGCTAATTTTTGATGTTCGTACTCTATTATTGTACTAACATGAAATTTGAAATTTGTTATTTGTCTGTTTTCATTTGTAGCAATTAGTCATGGCAGATTCTAATGAAAGTGATAAGTTCAAGAATACTTTACCTAGAACACCAACAACACCCACTTATCCATACTTCTCGGCTCCCCCACCACCCACTACACAATCATGTTTGTTTCAATGTTTCACAATTATGTTTTAGGTATTGAAACATCACTCTATATGTTTCAGGTATTGAAACAACACTTATTTGGGGTGTTTTTTTTTAGCTAATGAGAGAGATCTCTCCCATCAAATTGTTTTATTGACAGTTCATGGTTATAATTCCTTTATTTGTGGTTTCTCAAGTCTACTTTTGTACACATGTTTATATTTTCCCTAGATATCCATTTGATTTCCGCTGAAACATTTTATGTCTGATTGAGCATAATGTGAGCTCATGGTTACTTTTTTGTTTTCTATGATTTGCTTGTGAGCTTGTTTCAGATTTAGTTTGTTTTAGACTCAGGATGTGCTAGGTACAAATTGTTTCAGATTTAGTTTGTTTCAATGGTTTCTTGTGAGCTTGTTACAAGGTTTCTTTGTTTTAGATTCAGTTTGTGCTAAATGGATTTGCTTGTGAGCTTGTGTCAGATTCAGTTTGTTTCAGATTCAAGTCACAACTTCAGATTCAGTTTGTTTTCTAATGGTTACTTGTGAGCTTGTTACTGAGCATGTTTTTGATGGCGGCTATGATGATTGGTCATATAATATGGATTTGCGGCTATGACGATAGTGTTATGAAAAAGATTCATATGTTCAGCAATTGACCTTTTTTCATCAGAATCTAGGAAGGTTTTGTTTCAATTTTTGCAGCTGGCCTGAGTTTACATGAGGGTGTTGTTGCTTGTGTTCTTGGGTCAATCTTTCTTGTTTGTGGTTGCTTGCTTGCGTTCTTGGTTATATGAGTTTGTTTGTAGATTGGTTGTTGCTTGTCGTTGCTTGCTTGCAGTCTTGGCCAAAACATGTCGTTTGTGAAGATTATATGAGCTTGTTTGTAGACTGGTTACTTGCTGGTAATATGGCGTGCTGGAAGCCTTGGTTTGTTGTGGGTTTTATGTCTAATCTGAGTGATAAACACGTAAAATATGTATTATCTTAGTGTGTTTTAAGCATAATTTACGAGTGTTTAATGCATATTTCGTGTTTAGATCGAGGATACTGCTGTGGTTTGTGTTCTTATATGTAGGTATTGGCTCAAGATTGAAAGATTTGATGATCGTTGGAAGTTTTACAAGAGTTTGAAGAAACAACAAGATTTTGAAGGCATGGTTCGTGAAGAAAATGGATGCACGAGTATGAAGAACTAGAATTTCGACCATGATGCAGTTTGAATCAAGAAAAACTCAAAAGATAAAAGTTGTAGATCTCTTCAACAGGATTCCAATGCAACTTGAATAACCTCATTCCGAGGTCGGACGCAAATTTATAGCCAAAATACCGAAAACTGAAGAAACAAGCACAAAATCAGCAAAACAGCCCCTACCACACCCTGGTGTGGTGCAGACCACACCGGTGGCGCGGGAATTAGTTATTTTTTAGATTTTTGGAGACATATAAATATATGTTTTGACTTAGGGTTTTGGATATCTTTTGTTATGTTCTTTTAGCCATCAACTAGCAACTATTCTAGGGTTCAAGTATTGAAGGAATACATTAATCTCTTGTAGAAGATTGGGTTGCAAGTTCTTATTTTGAAGATTTCAATTGAAAGACGGGTTAATTCTTTCCTCTCTTTGATTTATTTCTTCTTATGATTGATTTGCATAATTATTTGATGTCTTCTCTTATTCCAATCATGTGTGAGTAGATTTCTTGTCTAGGGTTAGGAAAGAACCCAACTTTTTGGTGATTGATGATGAATTGATATAGGTTCTTGGTGAAAGTTTAAATCTTTGAACTTGATTTCTAGTGTTTTAATTTTGTTGATTCGCTTGATCACCGTATTAGCAATCATAGGTAATTAATTGAAGGACTGAAAGGTGAAGATTAATACCGGATCTCTAGAAATTAAGCAGGGAGCTCGAACCACGAAAGTAGGCTAGATTCCTTGGGGATTTGATTTGGATTAGCATAAAGCTTAATGTGTTTAACTTAATCTTAATTCCACGAAAGTAGGTTAATTAAGGTTAATTAGGCACGGTCTTTAGACTTTGAAAGAGGCTTTAGATTAATTTAGGCTAATTCACCCTTTCTAGATTAAACCAACACCAAGAATTGAAATAATTCATCATTGAACACCTAAGTTATGGTGATAACCTAATCCTAGTCCTTTATTATACTGAATTCCATCCGATTAGTTGTTTATTTTATTTCTTTTATTAAATCTCTTCTAATTTACTCATTAGTTTAGCTAGTCTAATAACGTAAAATTTGGTAATTAACCCTAGTCCCTGTGGGATCGACCTTGATAGCTACAACGAGTCTGTGCGCTTGCAGATTTTGCCTATCAAGTTTTTGGCGCCGTTGCCGGGGACTACGGTGTTAATATTGAGTGCTTATATTATTAAGCTAGACTAGATTTTTTTTATTTCTCTTTGCTTCTCACTTTCTTTTATGCAAGGGAATCAAACAGAAGTAAACGACGAAAACAATCCTGAACTATCGGTGACCCTTGCAAACATAAGAAGGTCTATAAGGGAGCAAAGGAACACAGAACAAGCTACGATGGGAGATCAAAATCAGCTTCTTAAGGATTTCGCAGCCCCAAATGCTCAAGGCACACAGTCAAGCATTACAAGGCCCAATGTTGAAGCTAATAACTTTGAGCTGAAACCATCACTGCTCTCAATGGTTCAGCAAAATCAGTTTGGAGGAGGTGCTACTGAAGACCCGAACCTCCACCTATCGATTTTCTTGGAGTATTGCGACACTTTGAAACTTAATGGAGTGACCAATGATGCTATTCGACTCAGATTATTTCCGTTCTCTCTAAGGGACAAGGCTAGGGCTTGGTTGCACTCATTGCCAGCTGGGTCCATCACCACTTGGGATCAATTGTCCAGAGCGTTTCTTGCAAAGTATTTTCCTCCAAGTAAAACAGCACAGATGAGGAACCAGATCACAAGCTTTGTACAGAAGGAAGGAGAGTCACTTTATGAAGCTTGGGAACGCTACAAGGAATTATTGAGGATGTGCCCTCACCATGGACTGGAAAAGTGGTTAATTGTTCACACCTTCTACAACGGGCTCACTTACAACACACGGATGACTGTTGATGCTGCTGCAGGAGGAGCTTTGATGAACAAAACAATAGACGAGGCATACACTCTCATTGAAGACATGGCTCAGAATCACTATCAATGGGCGAACGAGCGTGCTCCTCAGACATCAAAAGGAGGCAAGTATGAAATAGATGCTTTAGACCATATATCCTCTAAAGTTGATGCTTTATTTAAGAAAGTTGAAGGTTTGAGTATTAATTCTGTGGCGTCTACTTCAATTTCATGTGAGATATGTGGCTATGTGGGTCATTCTGCACTTCAATGTCAATTAGGAAACCCCCCATCCATTGATACTTCTGGTAATGAGCAAGTTAACTATGTTAATAACTTTAATCAGAAGGGAGACCCATTCTCCAATACTTATAATCCGGGGTGGAGGAATCATCCTAATTTTTCTTATAGAAACCCACCTGGAAATCCCATGCCTGCATCTAATTTTGGTCCACCTGGTTTTCGTGCTCCTCAATCCAATTTCCCTTCTCAAAAGTCAAATTTGAAAAATATGATGGAGAAGTTTGTGACGACTCAATCAAAATTGAATGAAGAGTTTAAGCAGCAACAACAAACCACGAATGAGGTGGTGAAACAATTGGCCTCTAAGATGGATTCCCTAGCTACGCATAACAAGATGTTAGAGACACAAATCACCCAATTGGCACAAAATGTTAGCTCTTCCTCTAGGCCTTCAGGCATGCTACCTGGACAACCCGAGACAAATCCCAGGAGTCATGTGAATGCTATAACTCTTAGAAGTGGAAAACAATATGAGGGACCCAAGATGAAGGAAAATGATGGGGTGGATGGTCATCATGAAGAAAAAAATGAAAATGTGATAGATGTGGATAATGAGACCCAAACGCAAGAAGAAGAAAAAGTTGAAAAATATGTGGCCCCCGCTCCTTACAAGCCTCCTCTACCATTTCCCCAAAGGTTAGCTAAGGCTAAGTTAGAAAAGCAGTTCGGAAAATTTTTGGAGATTTTGAAAAAGTTGCACATCAATATCCCGTTCACTGAAGCTATTTCTCAAATGCCTTCTTATGCTAAGTTCTTGAAAGAGATCCTATCTAACAAAAGGAAGTTGGAAGAATACGAGACTGTGGCCCTTACTGAGGAGTGTAGTGCTATCATCCAGAATAAGCTGCCTCCTAAGCTTAAGGATCCAGGTTCATTTTCTATTCCTTGTGTTATTGGTAATGTCTCTATTAACCGTGCTTTGTGTGATTTAGGTGCAAGCGTAAGTTTGATGCCAATGTCCATCTATAAGAAGCTTGGCATAGGAGATTTGAAGCCAACCACGATATCACTCCAACTGGCGGATCGATCGGTAAAATATCCGGTAGGTATACTTGAAGATGTACCTATCCAGGTCGGTAAGTTCTTTATCCCGGTCGATTTCGTTATCTTGGAAATAGAAGAAGATTCTAACATTCCAATTATTTTAGGAAGACCCTTCCTTGCTACTGCAGGTGCTATAATCGATGTTAAAAATGGAAGGCTCTCTCTAAATATTGGAGGGGAGACGGTGGAATTTGATTTAAGCAATACTATGAAATTCCCTCTAACTAATAAAATTTGTTACAGGGTTGACGTCATTGACAAGTGTACACATGAGCAAATTGCAAACAATAACTCAGCTGATCCACTTGAGAAATGTTTGGTAAGTGATGGTTCAATAAATGATGAAGACCCCGAGGTAGCCGCGTATGCTCAATCTTTAGAATCAACATCAACTGCTCCACTTCGAAATGCAAAGCTTGAAAGATTGATGCTAGAGCCAAAAGGTTCTATTTGTGAAGAGGATAATGCACCAAAGGTAGAATTAAAACCCCTCCCTTCCTCTTTAAGGTATGAATTTCTTGGCCCTGATTTTACTTATCCTGTGATTGTGAATGCATGTCTGAATGAAAATGAAACTGATAAGTTGCTTAGAACACTTAGGATGCATCGCAAGGTCATAGGATACACCATGAACGACATTAAGGGAATTAATCCATCAATTTGCATGCATAGAATTCTCTTGGAAGATGATCATAAACCCTCTATAGAACACCAACGTAGATTAAATCCTAACATGAAAGAAGTGGTTAAAAAGGAAGTGCTTAAGCTACTAGATTCTGGGGTAATCTATCCTATTTCTGATAGTGAATGGGTTAGCCCGGTTCATGTGGTTCCTAAAAAGGGAGGTGTGACCGTAGTTAAGAATGCAAATAACGAACTTATCCCTACTAGGACGGTTACGGGTTGGAGGATGTGTATTGATTATAGGAAATTGAACAAGGCAACCCGAAAAGATCATTTTCCACTTCCCTTTATAGACCAGATGTTGGAAAGGTTGGCTAGGCATTCATATTTTTGTTATTTAGATGGCTATTCGGGATTTTTCCAAATTCCTATCCATCCTAGTGACCAGGAAAAGACCACTTTTACCTGTCCCTATGGGACCTTTGCTTATAGGCGCATGCCTTTTGGTCTTTGCAATGCCCCCGCCACTTTTCAACGATGTATGATGGCCATTTTCTCTGATTTTATAGAGGATATTATGGACGTGTTTATGGATGACTTCTCCGTGTATGGAACTACTTTTGATGGTTGTTTATCTAACTTGTCTCGAGTTTTGCAGCGTTGCGAAGAAGTTAATTTAGTCCTAAACTGGGAGAAATGCCACTTTATGGTAAGGGATGGAATAGTTTTAGGGCACAAGGTGTCTGAGCGTGGAATTGAGGTTGATCGATCAAAAGTGGAAGTCATTGAAAAATTGCCTCCACCAACGTCGGTTAGGGGAGTAAGAAGTTTCTTGGGACATGCCGGTTTCTATCGGCGTTTCATCAAAGATTTCTCAAAAATTTCAAAACCCTTAACTAACCTTCTTCTTAAAGATGCTACCTTTGATTTCACTGATGAATGTCTTGATGCTTTTTGCAGGTTGAAAGAAGCATTGATAACAGCTCCTATTATGCAACCGCCGGACTGGAATCTCCCATTTGAAGTCATGACTGATGCAAGTGATTATGCGGTCGGTGCTGTGTTGGGACAAAGGAAGAACAAGATAGTTCATGCAATTTATTATGCTAGTCGCACTCTTGATGAAGCCCAAGTTAACTATGCTACAACTGAAAAGGAGCTATTAGCAGTTGTATTCGCCTTTGACAAGTTCAGGTCTTACTTAGTGGGGTCCAAAGTCATCGTTTATACCGACCACTCCGCCATCAAATATCTTTTGAGCAAGCAAGATGCCAAGCCTAGGTTGATCCGATGGATACTACTTTTGCAAGAATTTGACCTAGAGATCAAGGACAAGAAAGGGACGGAAAATTTGGTGGCAGACCATTTGTCGAGGATGAAACCAGAATCACATGATAGGGAGGAGGATGAACTACCGATCGACGAATCTTTCCCAGATGATCAATTGTTAGCCATAGAAAGATTGGATGCACCATGGTATGCAGACTTCGTCAACTACATAGTGTGTGGAGTCTTACCTCCGGATCTGAGCTATCAACAGAAGAAGAAGTTCTTTGCTGACTTGAAGTATTATTTTTGGGATGAACCGTTTCTATACAAACGGTGTGTTGATGGGATGTTCAGAAGGTGTATTCCTGAAGATGAGGTTGCCAGTATTCTCCATCATTGCCACTCATCTTCCTACGGGGGACATGCAAGCACTTCAAAGACAGCTGCAAAAGTTTTACAATCAGGTTTCTATTGGTTGAGTCTTTTCCGGGATGCAAATCAGTTTGTGAAATCTTGTGATAATTGTCAGAGGACCGGGAACATTTCGAAGCGACATGAGATGCCTTTACACTCGATCCTAGAAATTGAAGTCTTTGATGTGTGGGGGAGGATTCTCCATCATTGCCATTCATCTTCTTACGGAGGACATGCAAGCACTTCAAAGACAGCTGCAAAAGTTTTACAATCAGGTTTCTATTGGCCGAGTCTTTTCCGGGATGCAAGACAGTTTGTGATATCTTGTGATAGTTGTCAGAGGACCGAGAATATTTCGAAGTGACATGAGATGCCTTTACACTCCATCTTGGAAATTGAGGTCTTTGATGTGTGGGGGATAGATTTTATGGGACCGTTCCCGTCATCGTGTAACAACAAGTTCATCTTAGTGGCGGTGGACTACGTCTCCAAATGGGTAGAAGCGATAGCATCCCCCACCAACGATGCTAAAGTTGTTGTGAAACTATTCAAGAACGTTATTTTTCCAAGATTTGGGGTGCCACGGACGGTAATCAGTGATGGAGGTTCACACTTCATTTAAAGAAAATTCGAAGCTCTCTTAAGACAATATGGGGTCACTCATAAGGTTGTCACGCCATACCATCCTCAAACTAGCGGTCAAGTGGAGGTTTCGAATCGAGAAATTAAGAGTATTTTGGAGAAAACAGTTAATCGTTCAAGAAAGGATTGGTCTATGAAACTCACAGATGCCTTATGGGCCTATCGAACTGCATACAAAACGCCCATAGGTATGACACCATTCAAATTGGTATATGGCAAATCGTGTCATCTCCCAGTTGAGTTAGAGCATAAGGCGTATTGGGCTATCAAACTGCTCAATTTCGATATGAAGACCGCAGGTGAGAAAAGAAAGCTTCAACTTCATGAGCTAGATGAGCTACGATTAGATTCCTATGAGAATGGTCGCATTTATAAAGAAAAGAGTAAACGATGGCACGACAAGAATATTCTTCGAAGAGAGTTTAATCAAGGAGATATGGTGCTACTTTTCAACTCTCGTTTGAAGCTTTTTCCGGGCAAACTCAAATCTCGGTGGTCCGTACCTTTTCAAGTCCGTGAGGTTTTTCCTAGTGGAGTTGTTGAAGTTTGGAGTGAAACAACGAGATCTTTCAAGGTGAATGGGCAACGATTGAAGCACTACATTGTAGGGGAACAACACGAGAAAGGGGTCACTTATACCCTTTCCGATCCCCCTTCGTCGGATAATTAAGCGCAAAAAGGGGTCGAGCTCATGACCATAAACGAGCGCTTCTTGGGAGGCAACCCAAGTTTTCATCTATTTTATTTATCTCATTTTATTTCATTTTAATTTTAATTTTATTATTATTTTTATTATTTTTTTTAGGCAATTGGATCGGCACAAATTTAACTTATAACATTTTCAATCATGCAGGTGAGAAGAAGGGAGAACAATTCTTTCAAAAAAAAACTGCAGAAAAGGAGTTAAAAATGGGATGGCAGACTCTACCACACCCAGGGGTGGTGTACACCACACCCATGGTCCACAGGAAGATGGTATTTCAGAGTCTACCACACCCAGGGGTGGTGTACACCACCCCCATGGTCTACAGGAGAAGATTTTCAGAGGCTACCACACTTTCAGCCACACCCGTGGCCCAAAAACAACCGAAAAAAAAAAACCCCTTTCTCTTTCGTTCCAAACCCCAGCCCTCCTTTTGATTTCTCTGACCTAACCCCAAATCTCCGACCTGATCTCCACCGTCCCCCCTTCGCCATCCTTCGCCGCCACCACGAAACCGCTGCCCCTCTTCGATTTCCAACCAGCCGCACCACCTCTCGACAACCAGCGACCCGCCCTCATCCTTCACCATATCCGACCAAACCCTCTCCGATCAGCGAACCGCCGCTCCCCTTTCATCTCCCCGACTCCGAACTTCACAATCATCACCGCTCCTCACCCATTCATCCTCTCCTTCCATTGCCGGCCACCGATCAGCATCAGACCAGCTGCCGACCACTTCGACCACCAAGTCTCTGACTGCCTCTCACCAAGAACACCGCCGACCCAGATCCGCAAACGCTCCCTGCTCATCTCCCTAACGCCGACCGTCGAACTGCTGTCAATTCCTGTTCGGAACACTACATGGGACCTAAGCGCGGACAGATTAGTCAGGGTGCTTCAATTTCTACAGCACGACGATGCAAAGGTAACTCTCCTCCTCCCCAAAATCCTCATGGTATAGAATTTGTCAATGCACAGCAACAATCTAGATATAATACATTGGTTAAGCGGGGAATTCTGAGTACCCGTTATTTGGATGAAAATTGTTTGCGTGAGTTAGGGCTGTGGGATGATGTTTCATACCTCCTAAGACGGGTTGGTTGGTTAAATTTTGTAGAGGCTAAACATCCCACGTACGAGCGTATTACTCTCGAATTTTTGAGTTCTCTTGATGCTGTTTTATTTAATGGTGAGGGTGTAAAGGAAGGGAAAATCACTTTTAGGCTATTTAACCAGTCTCACACACTTACATTAGCACAATTAAATCAGATATTTGGTTTTCCGGAGGGTGGGGCTAGAATTGTTCCTAAAAACTTTAACTTGATCCCATTTTGGACTTCAATCGCACGCTCTACCACTCAAAGACCTTATGATCCCTCCTTGTCACGAGCCTCTGCTGTTTATAACCCATGCTTTAGATATTTACAGAGGTTTATGGCTTTTACCATTTTCGGTCGAGGCGAGAGTGATGGAATCATGTGTCAGAGAGAACTCTACTTTTTATGTGCCATGGTTGAGGGACATAAGGTTGACACAGGCGCTTTTATGATTCATCATATGTGTCGTGTAGCGAGAGCAACGAGCGGAAAAATTGTTTTTGGTGGCTTGATTACCACTTTAGCTTACGGGATGAGTTTAGGAGAATTTGTAGAAAAGCTTCATCCTTTAAGTCCTAGTGCGTCCTTTAACCTCGATGCTTGTCTACATATGAAATTGATTAGTAATAAGGGCAATAGGTTATGGTTATGTTTTCAGGATAATTATCTTTTCCCACTCCCTGATCCTGATCGCACGACCATCCATGTTCACGCCAATTGGTCCTACCTAACATCTGATTTTGTGATTTGTGATGGTCAAGAGGTTGTACCAGCTGAGGATGCTGACACGGTACCCCCGATCCCTATTCAGGATGAGCCTACCAGGGGAACTAACTCTTTCCATCACCCTGATTGCACTACAACACCTGAAATCTACCATAGCGGCTAAAAAACGCTATGGTATTATTTCATAGCGTTTTAATCAACGCTGTGTCAGAACCCGCTATAGTAGGTCTGTGGATTTACATAGCGTTTCCCCAAACGCTATCAAAAAGTTTCCAACATAGCGGCTGAAAAACGCTATGATATTATTTCATAGCGTTTTAATCAACGCTGTGTCAGAACCCGCTATAGTAGGTCTGTGGCTTTACATAGCGTTTCCCCAAACGCTATCAAAAAGTTTCCAACCATAGCGTTTTTATGTAGCTATAAAAGAGTATTCAATAGCGTTTCTATATTGCTATGACAAATATCTTTCATAGCGGTTGAAAAACGCTATTAGTTAGTTTTCATTCATAGCATTTCAACGCTGCTATTGTCTTACATTTGATAGCGTTTGAGTTACTACAATGGCGTTTCAGCGAATGTTGTCTTTCTTCTTTTAATAGCATTTTAATAATTGGTTCCACTTCTTATAGCATTTCAGTTGTGCCTATAAACCTTTGAGGTTGAACCAGAAATAACTTCCAATTGTGACAACCATAAAAGAAAATATTTCATTTAAAGATTCAAACTGATACATAACCAAGTTGTAGCATACAAGAAGAGTCAACACAAATGTGCCAAAAAACAAATACTAGTCTTTGGATAATCCAACATGGAGTACAAGAAATTAACCATAGTACACAGAACAACAAAAACTAACTTTGCTGCATTACATATGACTTGGGAGACTCATCATCTTCAGAAATTGAGTACTAGTACTGCTGCAAAAACAGAAATTAACAACACCAAAATTACAACTATAACAAACATGATAAAGTAAAAACACACGATTGCAAGATGTATAACTTACCAGCTTTCCAGAAATCCTGGATCTGACACTGGCATAATCTATAAAATTTCTAGGCATATGATAGTTCAGGTGTACTCACATTTACTTAATGAACTAGAAGAATATGACAAACAAAAATAAACTAGAAGAATACGACAAAAAACAGTAAGAGCTTTTATTGCAGGCATATAAATATCACATAGCAAAATATATACATGAACTGTTATGTTATTCTCAACAGGGAAGACGTACATTTTCTGCAAGATGATTTAATATTAGCCAGGTTATGCATGTTCAAAGGAGACCCTTGTTCAGAACAAGGTCATATCTCACTTTTAGAGAGAGATTGACATTAATGTTCACATTACCATATATATAGAAACCGTAAGGAGAGACTCTTTAAAACTTTCAATTGTAATTGTGACTCCCACAATGTAACCTAAGAATCTTATGCATTCACACATTACTCGACCTATGTAATTTCTCAACTCAATAAATGATGGTGCACAAAATGTAACTATCTACACAAAAGTAAGCATAGAAAGGGAGAAGAGGAAGAAGATAAAAACATAGCTACTATTAGTCACCGACTAGATGATCCTTCAATACGCACTTTGGCATAACAAAAGAAGCTCTCTAAAAATCTATTTTCTATTTAAAATTTATTTAAGAACTATTGGTAACAAAAGAAAATATTTGCATGTTGATAATCACCCTTTACATGGAGGAAGAGTGCTATTGCGACTAGTTCTGTATTAGCAGAAAGATGAGAATTATTAACACACTGAATGTGCTGCTAGTACACAATGTTAGTAGTTTTTTAAGAAGAAAATAAGAAATGAGTCTAGTAAGCACATTCACCATATGATAATTAGGTGACGTAAACCATCGTTTCATACTAGCAAGCAATAATGTCTAAAGCTTTCAAATTTCAAACTTTGAAGAACTTACTTGGCAGTCCATTCTATCAGTAATTCCACCATGTCCAGGAATGCTATCACCAAAATCCTAAACAAAGGGAAAAGGAACGTATTACTTTCATGTAATGTTTTTTGGTACTTAACAAATCACGACCATAATAGTAAAAAAAGAAATCACCTTAATTTTGAAAGCTCTCTTGAATCCACTGGCAAAGAATCCTCCAAATGGTGCAATAATTGACGCGAATAAACCAAAAGCCAACGCATGCCATTGAACTGGCAAAATATACACCTCTTTCCATGGAAATTGTAGAGATATAGGTAGATATCAGCATGTATTTAAATGTAAAATCAATGTTCAATAATGAAACGAATGTAGTTCACCAGATAATAACATAAAGAAATTTTGTAGAAGATGAAGTAATTATTTACTGTAACTCCAAGAAACAAGTGCATTTGCTAATTGTAAAAAAAATCATAAACGAATGTCAGTTCACCAGATAATAACAAAAACGAATGTCAGTTCACCAGATAATTATTTACTAATAACAAATGTCAGAGGTTGCTTCCCATATCGCAGTAAAAGAAATAGATTACCTTTCTAGGACATGTTAACCACTGAAAGCGTCCAAGCACATTTGCTAACTGTAAAAAAATCATAATAAAATGGAATGGCTGCTAAGTGCAAAAGGCTCACATATGTAAAAGAAGAATTCAAGGACAAAACTCTTGTGCAAAACAACCTCGAGTATATCAAAAGCAATAAAGTAAGAAGCAAGGCATGGAAAAAAACATTTCAGCTTTACAAGTTATAAATCTTAAAGAACCACCAATTTGGTAATGTAGAGTTAAAGCCTTAAAGGTGTTCAAAGACAAGGGCCTGGACCATCAAGAAGGACAGGAGGAGAAAGCATCTAATTTGAAAAGGTTTCACGTTCAGTAGGATTTGGGAAGATAGTAGTTTGTTTACTTTGAAGTTCTCTCATGTTGAGCCCATTTATTTCAAATACTTGTAATTTTGAAATGATTTTTTTTTACTACAGGAGGTAGGTATTCAAGGTGGCCAGCACTGAAATTGAATATGTGAACACTAAAATTGTGATATCTCATTCATAGTACTACTTGTTAGTGCCTCACTTGATATAGTTGGATATCATGTTCACTTCCAACTAAAGGGATTAGGTTCATAATGAGAGGTTCAAACTAGTTAAACATCAAACTTTTCAAATGATGCAGTACATATGGAGGGTTGCGATCTAATTTTTTAGTCGAATCTAATTATTTAGCATTTACTAATAATATAAGACCTCAATGAACAAATATGAGTAACTTTTATGCAAAGAATAAAACACGGGGGTGACATTACAGCTAGTCCATCTTGCCTAGATTAATCAATGCCTCATGTAATTATGGCAAGAGTTGCCGTAACCTTCCACTCTTCCAATTTATTAAATGGATAATATTACTCCTTTTAAGACTAGCTATCCTCCTTCTATTATCAACCATTTATGGCTAACATTTAGGCTTAGAGCAACCTTTCTTCTACTAGTTAGTCATTTATAGCAATCATTCAAACTTAGGGCTGCAACCTTCTCCGGATGACAAAAGGTCACACTACTATAGTGTTCAGTTCAAATTCCATATTAACTTATTCCACCAGGGAGTATTATTCCAAGAGTCAGCACCGCTACAAACATGTTCATGGCGCAAATGTATGAGTGATCATGAGGAAATTTTTCTCTTCACCCTAAAGCAGATCATCACTAGTAGACTTGGCCTCTTTGTGGACCATCACCATCACTCCTTCCCAGTCCATATGCTCTGTCCCACTAATCTACTTTCCTCTCAACCAAGGTTACAGAAAGCGCTAAGCGGTCTAGGCGGATTTCTTTCTTCATTTAAGTGGTCGTGAAGGAGGTTTTGCTGAAGGTCAGAGGGGGTAGATGAGGTGTTCATAGTTGGAGGCAGGAGGAGTTTAGAGGACGTGGAGGTTACAACAGAGGAAATCTCAATTAAGGCCTAAAGAGTGCAGTTCATGTCAGCAGATCATGCTCCCCTTGACGCTCCCAAAACCTAGGTGGGCAGCCTAGATACCGCCTAGGCGTTAGCTGCCAAGCAGGCAACCTAGATACCGCCTAGGTCTAGGCATATGCCTAGGTGGGCTAGGCGGAGGCTTATTAGGTCTAGGCATTGCTCTCAAAAACAATGTCGTAGTTCAGTTAAAAAGGTGTGGGAATGTGGGATGATGGTCCCCTGGTTAAAATAATTATAATAAATATTTCATAAGGCAAATTAAGTGGGAATCATTAGTAACCAAATAAGCATAATAAAAAGATTCAATGAATTAACTTGTCTTATAAGAGATTGAAAAAGTGATATAATTGAGAATTTGAGACCTGTCCCTAACTCAAATTTATGCACAAACATGATCTTTTAGACTCACCAGAAATGCTGAAAACATTGTAGCAACTGATGCACCAATGAAACCCACCCAAGTCTTCTTTGGTGAAAGTTTGATTAATGGCGTCTTCCCAAAAAAGAAACCAAAGATATATGCAGCTATATCATTGATCACAATAAGAGAAGCTGGCAGAAGAAACCTGAATATGAAGTCACAAGCAATCAGATTTGTTAGCAATACAAAATCATTAACCAATCAACCAGATCAGCATCGCAAAACTAGATAAAAGAAACATATAAAACACCATCTTAAATTAAAACCTACACTAATCTTTGGAAGAACTAATAACAGAAATTATGTAAACGCTAAAATAAGTGATTCAAAATGCAAAATAATGTGCCCCCACCCCCAAAACCACCACCAAAAAAACAAAGAATATGGAGTCGCAAGCAATCGGATTTGTTAGCAGTACAAAATCTTTAAACAATTAGATAAACCAATCAACCATATCAGCATGGTAAATATACATGAAAGAAAACAGCCATATTAAGTTAAAATCAATCGATTATCCTTAGAATAACACGTGAATTTATCTAAATGCTAAAATAAGCGATTCAAAATTATGTGCATCCCCCCAACCCCCAACCCCCCCCGAAAAAAAAGATTCAAAATAATGTTTCACTGCTGATTTCATATGATAATTGGCTGGGTAAAATAGAGTATGAAACACTGGTTTGAAATGGTTGAAATGATGAATGCTGACAGCAAATATAAAAACAGAAGGGCGACGTAGATAAGTATCAAATTTACAAGCATGCTGTGTGTAGAAAAAACGGTATGAGGTGGCAGCATTTTGCTAAATGGTTACCATGGGATAGACATGCGATGAGCTTCGTGCAGGTCTCGCGACTTCTATCTCTCTTGTCTCACTACTTCTCTCTCTCGGGAGCTCAGTTTGCTACAGGAGGTGGCAGCTCATATCTAGTATCACATACCCACGCACCAATTCACCCCCATCCCCACCCACACAAACACACCCACACGCGCACCAATGCACATAAACACGCATATAATAGATAAATCAACAACAAAATGTTCATGACCTATAAAGCATACAGAGAAGTGATACAATAATATCAAATGACAAGTTTGACAAAATTTCTAGCTAGATAGAATGGTAGATTAATACAAGGGATAAAAGTAAAAAATGATGATCAATTTTACTAGAAAATTCCTTTAAATATGTTGGCCACAGTAAAGGAGGATTGTGCAAACACCATAAGAAGGATCATATGTGTCCAAGCATACTGGCTAAACTGATACTTGTACATCTTCTTTTTCAAAGTAACTATGAACCATATAAAACCTAAATGGCCAAAACAAGAAAATCAGATTACTAGGAAGGAGTACAGAACTAATATGCTATGTTGAAATTATGTAGAAAATGACAAGAGTTTGGACAGATTCAGATAAGGCGTTTAAATTTCAAATTTTCAATATTAGCAGACAGTCTAAAAATAACATAAAAACTAACCAGTAAATAGTTAAAATGAATGGAAACACTCTTTAATGTTCAAATTTTCATGAATACAAATTGACAAATTTATAAGAACATATGAATCCAAAGATACAAGATATACTTCAAATTTCACTTTCCCTCTTTCCATATAACCACATATTAACAACAAGTAAATGGTAAACCCACAAGAGCTTTTTGCAATTAAGAGTCGGTAGTTGATGTTTCCAACACTAATTTAAATAATTAATTTCACAATAAGCTAGCCTTTAAGAATCAATATTAGTTTCTGAATCCTCCAATAAGAGAGAGCTACACTTTTCCTCCGTGAAAGTTGCATTTTATTTATATGGCCGTTTACTATCCAGATGGTTTGAAATCTCCACATCAAAGGATCTAAAACTTAATAAGAGAGAGCTACACTTTTCCTCCGTGGTGAGGGATGCAACTATGCATTCTATTTGTTAAGATGTGAAATTGTAACGTAAATCAACCAAATGCAAGTGAAGACTCATGGACAAGAAAATTAGATATCTTAGATTTCATATGAAAACATTTCAGAAAAAGAACAAACTGCAACATGAATATTCAACATTATTTATAAATCCAAGAGAAGATATAAAACAACTATTATCACTAAAAATGAAAAATGCTTCTTCTAGAAAATAAAGGGATCATTCTAACCTACAATATATAAGAAATAACAGATGAACATATGATACTTGATGAGCCCGCTAACAAGCTTATAAAAAATTTAATCCCTCGAATCTTCAAATAAGAGGGGTTTCAGAGGTGGACGAGATACGAGGAGGGGCTCCGACGGGCTCCGGCGGTGGACGAAAGACGAGGCGGTGGACGAAGAGGAGGGTAGGGTTTGGAGGCGGCAGCGGCGGCGAGATGCTGCGATAGCAAGTCGGAGACGGCACAGGCGACGACTCAGAGATGGCACCGGCGACGACTCGGAGGCGGCAGCGATGAGTCGGAGGGATGTTAGGGTTTGGGTGAAAGAAAAAGAACAGGAATTGGGATTATTTGTTGATTCTCTATTGGGGGTTTTTAGAATGGTTTTCAACATGCGGTTTTAATTTTTGGTGTCCCGCTTAAAGATTTCAACGCGCCAGAACAAAAATAAAAGCGCTCAATTATTGATAACGTTTAAAATTTTTCAAACGCTATCAAAAAATATGGCACATATAATCTATAGCATTTACAACATAAACGCTATTATTCAATGCTATAAAAAACAGTTTTGTTGTAGTGTCGAGTCACACACATCACTATGAATTAATTCGAGGAGTTCAGAGTGAGCAAGAGCAACAACGTCAAGGACAACTACTGGACTCTATACACTACATGATGCAGTCTTTTCACGAGTGGCAGCTCCGACAGGATGCCTCTACGCCGCCTCCTTCTGACTAGTGAGTTGGTATGTTTCCTGCACCCTTGCACTAATTTCTATTTTTTTTACATTGAGGACAATGTCGATCTTAAGCTTGGGGGTGTGGGTTGTTCATGCATTGATTGCCTGTCTATAATTGCCTATTTTTCTTTTATTTTAGTTTTTCTTTTGCTTTGTTTCTTAATTCAAAAAAAAACAAAAAACAAAAAAAACAATTAGGGAAATGATCTCCTGATGATGACATGAATGCTTAACCTTTATCGATCATTGAACTAGATAGATGCTCATTAATTGGGACTTGACAACTTCTTATACCATCTTTCAATTGATTCTAAAATGCTTTTGATTGCAAGTTAACAATATGGGAGAACCGGACTTGAATGTTCTCTTGTCTTATAGGATTTAGCATTTATGTGGCTAGCGTCATAACCATTACTCTATTGAGACAAGAGGGGAATTAAATTTGGTAGACAAATAAAACCCGTGAGATTTTGAGCCTGAAATTGGATGCATTGCATATCCAATCATTATTTTCTTTGCTTGTGTGATATTCTCCAATGGTGTAGGATACTAGAACTTGCATTGAATCTCTTCAAGGTCACATATAACTTTTGTATGCATAAAAGGTGATTGAGGCACATTTTTGTTTATAGTCCACATTTGCCAAATAGCCTACCATGCACTATTGTTCCCTTTGATTAGCCCCCTTGAGCCTATGAGCCTAATTTTGTTGATTAAACCCACATATGTAACCTTCAAAATCCGATTGTATCCCTTACCCATTGTCTAAGCTAGTGGAGCACAATTTATGATATAACGGGTTATGTGAGCAATGAAATGTAAGATTGGGGGTGTGAAAGTAGGTGTTTGCTTCTTTTATACAAAAAAAAGAAAAAGAAAAAAAGAAATGAAATTAAGAAAAAAAAGATGAATAAAGTGTCCTCTTTATGGTGTATGTAATTGCGGGTGTCGAAAGAATTTATTATGGCATACTAAAAGGAGTAGTTGGAAGAAGTTCTTTAATAGATGATGGAGTTTGTTTGAATTTCATTGATCTTATTTTGAGATCAAATATTTTATAAGTATCACTCCACTAGTGATAGGCTTTCAACTACAATCCCAAATATATATCCTACCTTTTGACCCTAAGGCCCGCGTTTACAACCAAATAAAAGACCTCATGATTTTGGTGCAATGCATTAGTTTTTCGAAGTGGTGGAGATTGAGATGAAATGCAGACTTATGGATTGAATACATCCATTCGGAAGAATTTTGAGGATACAATCACATCGCTTAAACACATGAGAGATTGAGAGTCCACTTATCCTAAAGTGAGGTCTACCAATTTAACTACCTGAAGGTTCAATTTAGTACTTTGTGGATTGAAGCTAGTTACATGAAATTTTTTTTTTCTACTTTGACTTGAAGAATTGATAGGATGGCTATCCTTGACTTGTGACGCTTGTGATCGTAAATAAAATTTTGAAATGGATGATTTGTTGAGAGTTTGGAAAATTAAATGTCGTTAGTCCCCGATGAAAAGGTATTTGTTTTGTGATATTGTTTGCATATTGGTTAAAGGATTGATTGAGGGGGTGATGCCTACTCTATTTGGCTTTCACTCCTGCCTATTTTTTATGTGTTTATTTGGGCCTTGAGGAAAGCAAGTCTAGCTTGGGGGAGTTGATAACACGGTAAATATGCATTTATCTAGTGTGTTTTAAGCAATGATTTAACGAGGTGTTTAATGCATATTTCGTGTTTAGATGCGAGGATACTGGGGTCTGTGGTTTGTGTTGCTTATATGTAGGTATTGGCTCAAGATTGAAAGAATTTGATGATCGTGTGGAAGTTTTACAAGAGTTTGAAGCAACAACAAGATTTTGAAAGGCATGGTTCGTGAAGAAAATGGATGCACGCAGTGATGAAGAACTGAATTGTTGTAGCCTGATGCAGTTTGAATGCCAGAAAAACTCAAAAGATAAAAGTTGTAGTATCGTCTTGCAACAGGAATGGGCAACTTGAATCACGCTATTCGAGGGTCGGACGCAAATGTAATAGCCAAAATACCGGAAAACTAAAGAAACAAGCAATCAGCATAAACAGCCCCCCTACCACACGCCTGGTGTGGTGGGCAGACGCACAGCCGGTGGCGGCGGGAATGTAGTTATTTTCCAGATTTTTGGAGACAATATAAAATAGATGTTTTGATAGGGTTTTGGGAATCTTTTGTTATGTTCTTTTAGCATCACTAGGGCAATCTATTCTATGGGTTCAAGTATTGAAGGAAGGAGCATTAATCTCTTGTAAGAAGATTGGATTGTAAGTTCTTATTTTGAAGATTTGCAATGAAAGGAAAGACGGGTTAATTCTTTCACTCTCTTTGATTTATTTCTTCTTATGATTGATTTGCATAATTATTTGATGTCTTCTCTTATTTCGGCAATCACTGTGTGAGTAGATTTCTTGTCTAAGGGTTGGGAAAGAACCCAATTTTTGGTGATTGGATGAATGAATTCAATATATGTTCTTGGTGAAAGTTTAGGATGGCTTAAACTTAATTTCTAGTGTTTTAATTTTGTTTAATCTCGCTGATCACCGTATTAGCGAATCATAGGTAGCAATGTAATTGAATGGACTGAAGGTGAAGATTATATACCGATACTCTTAGAAATTAAGGAGCAGGGAAGCTCGAACGCACGAAAGTAGGCTAGATTCGGCTTGGGGATTGATTTGGGATTAGCATAAAAGCTTAATGGGTTTTAACTTAATCCTTAATTCGCACGAAAGTAGGTTAATTGAGGGTTAATTAGGCACGGTCTTTAAGACCTTGAAGAGGCCTATTAGATTAATTTAGGCCTAATTCACCCTTTCTTAGATTAAAGCCAACAGCCCACAGAATTGAAAAATTTCATCATTGAACACCTAAGTTGTGGTGATAACCCAATCCTAGTCCTTTATTATACTGAATTCAATCCGATTAGTTGTTTATTTTATTTCTTTTATTAAATCTCTTCTAATTTACTCATTAGTTTAGCTAGTCTAATAACGTAAAATTTGGTAATTAACCCTAGTCCCTGTGGGATCGACCTTGATAGCTACAACGAGTCTGTGCGTTTGCAGATTTTGCCTAATCTGACCTTGGTTTGTTGTGGGTTTTACGTCTAATCTGAGCTGCTCTTGGATCTAACTTGCTTGTGTGTGGACAGGTTTTGGTTAATTTTTGTTAAAGGGGCCTGAAACAAACTGAATCTGAAATAAACTGAATCTGAAGCAATCTGAAACGAATCTGAAATAAACTGAATCTGAAGCAATCTGAAACAAGCTCACAAGCAACCATTAGAAAATGATACTTGATGCTCATATTTTGTATAAACTGAATATGAGCTTGGGTTCTTTTGCAGGTTTATATAAATATGGATGGATATGATACTTGATAGCAACCTACATTGCACGATATGTATTGGTATGGTTATTTTGTATTGTTCAATTTGGGCAATGATGATGGTCATATTATGAGAATGCAATCTATAATGTTTTGCTTTGTTTAGGTAGGGCAATCTAGGATGAGAATGCAACCTACATTGTATTTACAATGCTAGGTGAGGCAATCCATTCATGTGATTGCAACCTCCTGTTTGCGTCAAAAGTTGGTTTTGTCATGGAATTCATTATATCTTCGGTCGATTACAATAAATTCA